TACCTTTAGATAGAGGAAGGATAGGATGGGGGTTACCTGAAGCTAAACTGAACTGTCCTGATTCCATCTTTTATCCAGTTTTAGACAGGCGTGCTTTACAATTTCAATTTTAAGTTGCCAGAGTTAACAAGGGGTCAGAACCAGGACTGAGGCTACCCGCGCCCAGCCTCCAACTTCAGCTGCTGTACTTAGCAAGCTGCTGCTACTGCCACATGCTAGAACTTTGACTCCCTCCGCCCCCCCCTCCCCCCAGATATCCATATGAAGAATACAGACACAGAAAACAGTATGAGACAAGACAGGAACACAAAAATCAAAAGCTGAGTTGGGGCCTCTCTCACCGTAAGTGGGCCTCCTCAGTTTAGCCCTACCAGAACTCTACCGTTGGGAGTCATACTGCAGTATGAGAGCAGTACCCAACGCTGCGTGGTCTGGTCCTCAGATCTCTAATCATGGCAAACCAGAAGTAGCACCCTCTATTCTCGTCAGAAAGAGAGAAGGAAGGTGGGTCTGAGCATATCTGCTCCCCTATCCTCCCTAATCAAAAAGAGGGTATAAAGAGCATTTTAGAAGGGGAAAAGTCCTGTAGAGTTCCTTGATAAAAAAGGTCAGTGATCCATGAAAAGAAATCCTCAGGGGAAGAGGATAAAAACCAGTTAATATCATAAAGAAAAGTCAAAACAAACAACTCAAATTCACAGGACAAACAAAAAGGGCCTATAGACATCCCAGGATAATTAACACAATTTCAAACGGGTTTCACTCCAGGGACCGCCAATGGCTCCCACTAACACCTTAGGGGAGCTGGCGGCAGGGAGTTCTGGCTGTGTCCTGCTCTCCCACAGTCCACCTCTGCACGGGTACCTAGACAAATGAGGTGAGGTGACTTACCTCCACAAAGGCAGAGAGACTCCTGGGATGCAGAGATGGGGACTGATATCTCCTGCTCAGGTGTCAAAACCTCCCTTGGAGTCCTCCGGGGGGGCCCTGGAACGTCTCGAGGGTTGCTTCTCTTAGAGGCTCTGTGGAAACTGACACCTGGGAGGGAGAGGCCAGCTGTCCCCAGGCGTCCAACCCAAGAAGGGTCTCCCAAGTGCCGGTACGCATGATCTTGCTAGGGCCTCCAAAATGTTGTATCCCAATCAATGAGAAAAAAAATGAGGCCACAATTAATAAGACAAATTATAGGAGTCTTTAATGTAAAAGCCAATGACTACACAGATGCATAGACTTCTTAATGCAGCCATGAGACAGCTCAGATTCATTTATTTACTTATTTATTTATTTAGTGGGTCGTCGGGGCCTCAACTCTGGGCCTGGGCGCTGTCTCTTAACTCTTCAGCTCAAGGCTAGCGCTCTACCTCTTGAGCCACAGTACCACTTCCGGCTTTTTCTGTTTATGGAGTGCTGAGGAATCGAACCCAGGGCCTCATGCATATAAAGCAAGCACTCTACCACTGAGCCACCTTCCCAGCCCCCTCAGTCTTTTATTTTCATTTATTTATTTATTTGTTTGTTTATTTAGTCAGTCCTGGGGCTTGAACTCAGGGCTTGGGCACTATCCTTCTTTTGCTTGAGGCTAGCACTCTACCGCTTGAGCCACAGCACCACTTCTGGCTTCTTCTGTGTATGTGGTACTGAGGAATCAAACCCAGGGCTTCATGTTTGCTAGGCAAGCACTCTACCACTAAGCCACATTTCTGGCTGAGAGTCATTCTTGTAAAGGCAAAAGCCACATCCTCTTCAGAAAACCATAATGCATAGGGGTTTTTTGTTTGGCAAAGTATACACAGAAGTGAAAATGAGTGGGCTGGGAATGTGGCTTAGTGGTAGAGTGCTTGCCTAGCATGCATGAAGTCCTGTATTCGTTCGATTCCTCAGTTCCACATAAACAAAAAACTGATAGTGGTGCTCAAGTGGTAGCTAGCTTTGAGCAAGAGAAGCTTAGGGACAGTGCCCAGGTCATGAATTCAAGCCTCAGAACTGGCCAAAAAAAAAAGTGATGAAAATGAGCATTATGATAAACCTAGACTTATTTCCCAGAATACTGGGCAGATGAAACTGTTTGTTTGTTTATTTTGCAGAAATTGCTGAGCAAATAACTTGTGGTTTTTTGCAGAACTTGCTAAGCAAATAACATATCTGGGGTCAGGGGCCTTTCTCCTTGGGACACAAAATGGTGTCACTTCCGTCAGGCTTCAGGTTTAAAGACATAACCTGCTTCAGGGGGTGGGGGATGTACGGAATGTGGGAAACAGCACAGCCTGCCAGGGATGGGACCATCGGCCAGACCCAGGCTTGCACAGAGATCCAAACTGGGTTCAGTGAGTGTGTCAGAAGGAGCTTGTTGAGAATTAAGAAATGTAGAGTAAAATCAGTGCCATCGTGAGGATATTTAGGACTCCAGCCAGCACAGCACGCACTCCATGTGCGCGAGCATCCTGAGGTATGCAGAATGCCAAGAGAGGGACCCTAGCCCTTAGTCATTTAGAGGAAATGCTCACCAGGGACCTTGGAAATGACATATTCCTGGCCTAGGATGGAGTATCTTTCTGTGACTAGCCGCTGATTCCTCATTCGGGATGTCTGAACTGGAGCGGAAGAGATAGCAGCCAATTGCTTATTCCTTCCACGAACAGTTGTCAAGCGGGCAGAACCTGTCTGTCTGTTGGGAGTGGGGTGGGGTGAGTTTCAGATCAGTGATGACAAGAACGTTGGTGCAGTAGCCCTGGGAAGAGTGGAATGAGCTGTCTCATTAGACGAGAAACAGCTATAGATGCATCTGGGCAAACGTCTGCTGAAATGTTGATGAGATTCCCTTTAGGAGGCCTGTCCTCTTGGAGTCTCTTCCCTCCCAAAATCTCCCTCCCAAGGCTGGGGAAGTGAGCATGGTAGGGGGACTTTGCCCAGCTGCTGAGGATTCTGGGTAGGTGGTGGAGGGGGCTGGCATGGGGGAGCAGTCATCTGAAACTTCAGAGCAAAACCCCAAACGTTAGAGGAGCAAAGGCTGGCCTTTACAAGGAAGGCCAGGAACAAGCTCAAAGCTAAAGACGCCAGTGGAGAAAGCAAGGTCAGGGCTCACCTGGAAGCTAGACTGGGAGCTGTTGCCAAAGCCAGCCCAATTGCCCTTGGCTTCCTGGTGAGCAGAGAGCCAGGAATCAAGCCAGGGCCTAACGGCCCCGCCAGTGGCTCACAGGAATTCTGTGGCCTATTTTTTTTTTTTAAATGAGATTCTATAGCTTAAATTTGAAGGCAATTCTAGAGTGTTTTGCACAGGTACTTGGGATATTTAAAGATGAATTCTTAGAGACTAACACGCTTCAATGCTAACAGTTTTGAAAATTTATCAATTTCAGTAAGATCATTTTATATTTGTTTACCAGTCACAAACAGTTGTTTGTGAAAAAGGTGGTGACAGACAGTATTCAATACTTGAAAGTATTAATAGAAATGTTTCAATTACAAATAAGGAAAACAGAACAAGGCTTAAATAAGTATTTCCTGTCCTAGAAGTCAGTGACAGAACTCATTCTGTTAATGTTTATTTTTGTTATTGGCTTACATCAGTTGTAAAAGGGTGGGAATTTTACTGTTCCATCTCCATGTTAAGTTGTATTCCAATCAATTTATCTTGTTAATATTTAAAATATGGTTGAAAACATTTAAATTTTATGGTTCTGGACTCCAAGCAAAAGACTAAATAAAAACACAATCGGTATCCCAGTAGTTTTCTTTTCTTTTTTTTTTTTTTTTGTCGTCGTGGGGCTTGAACTCTGGGTTTGGGCGCTATCCCTCAGCTCTTCAGCTCAAGGCAAGTGCTGTACCACTTGAGCCACAGCACCACTTCCGGTTTTCTAGTGGTTTATTGGAGATAAGAGTCTCATGGACTTTCCTGCTTGGGCTGGCTTTGAACCGTGATCCTCAGATCTCAGCTTCCTGAGTAGCTAGGATTACAGGCGTGAGCCACTGGTGCCTGGCTCCCAGTAGTTTTTTTTTTTTTTTCCTTTTGCTTTTGTTTTTGTGCTGATAGTGGAGCTAGAACTCAGGGTCTGGGTTCTGTCCCTTAGCTTTTTCACTCAAAATTGGCACTCCATTTCTGGCTTTTGTGGTTAATTGGAGGTTGGCTTCGAATCTGGATTGTCAGCTTCCTGAGTCGCTAGTCTTGCAGGTGTGAACTATAAACCCCTGGCTTAAATAGTTTCTTGGTTTAGTTTTTCCTGGCTTTTTGCTTACTTGTTTTTGTTTTGTGTGCTGGTCCAGCTTCTTTTGTTCAACAATAGTGCTCTTCCACCTGAGCCACAGCTCTACTTCTGGCTTTTTTGGTAGTTTAGTGGAGATTTCCTGCCTAGATAGCTTCAAACCATGATCCTCATATCTCAGCCTCCTGAGTAGCTAGGATTATAAATGTGAGCCACTGGCTCCCAACTTTTTTTTTTTTTTGGTAGGTCGTGGACCTAGAACTTGGGGTCTGGGCACTGTCTCTGAGGTCTTTTGCTCAAGGCCAGTGTTCTACCATTTTAGCTACAGCACCACTTCTGATTTCTTGGTAAATTGGAGATAAGAGTCTCACTGCCTGGCGCTGGTGGCTCACGCCTGTAATCCTAGCTACTCAGCCTCCTGAGTAGCTAAGGTTCAAAACCAACCCGGGCAGGAAAGTCCGTGAGACTATCTCCAATAAGTGGTGCTGTGGCTCAAGCAGTAGAACGCTCACCTTGAGCTGAAGAACACAGGGACAGCTCCCAAGCCCAGAGTTCAAGCTCCATGACTGAGAAAAAAAAAGAGTCTTACTGACTTTCCTGCCCAGGCTGGCTTTGAACCACGGTCTTCAGGTTCAGCCTCCTGAGTAGCTAGGATTAAAGCTAGCTGGTGCCTAGCTTTTAAATGGTATTCTTTAAGTGGCAGTCAACCTGTGCCTGGACCCAGAGGATTCTGGACACTATCTTTGCTGAGTGAAATTTTCTGTGTCATGGAAACACTGACACTTGTTCTCTTTCTTCTAGGAAATTATGCAAATATTCTCACAGTGTTCTCTCAGAGGACAACTTTATAGTCCTGAAAAAATACGAGCTCTCTGGGCTTAACCAAGAGGAATTAGCCGTACTCCTGGTCCAGAGTGACCCCTTTTTTATACCTGAGGTAAGTGGTGGCTTCCCAGTTGAGATGACAGGAGAGTACTGTGTTGGAGAAGGCACAGAAAAACCTCAACGCCAGCACCAGGGCTCCGAAGGTGGCAGTCAAGGCTTTGCTGAGATGTCTGGGATGTGATCTCCTCTGACGGGCTGCCAGGAACCCAGTGTTAGCAAAGATGAGCTAAAGACATAATGGTAGAAATAACTGTATTACTTCAGGGTGATTTCCTGGAGGAGGTGGCCTTAGAAATGATGTTTAAAAGAGAGGTGGAAAGGTGAGAGTACAGATTGGGTGTTGTATAATCGGCTCCTCTACCCTAAATAGAGTGATTCAAATGAAATCTATGTATTTATTTCTTACTTAGTAGTTTAGATCAGATTATGCACAGGCCAAGTCTGGCCTGCCATCTGATTGTATAAGTGAAGGTTATTAAAACACAGCTACATCTTTTTACATATTGTAACCTACTAGGGCAAGTTAAGTAGTTGTAACAAAGGCCAAATTCCTTGCAAAGCATACAGTATTTTTCTTTATTATTATTATTTTTATTATTTTTTTTTGTGCCAGTCCGGGGGCTTTAACTCAGGACCTAGATGCTGTCCCTGAACTTCTTTTTGCTCAAGGCTAGACTCTACCACTTGAGCCACAGTATCACTTCTGGCTTTTTCTGTGTATGTGGTACTGAGGAATCGAACCCAGGGCTTCATGCATGCTAGGCAAGCACTCCACCACTAAGCCACATTCCCAGCCCAAGCCTACAGAATTTACTGTCTAATCCATTACAGAAAAGTCGGCCAACTCCTGTTTTACCTGGGTAAGGGCAGGCAGGTAGGCTGTGTGGTCAGCAGGTAAACCCTACGATTTCATCCAGGACTCGGGCCATTATGTCCTCTCTTGTTACCTCTAAAATATGTCTTCCTTCTCTAGGTACAAGTTGTTCTCATTTGTCACCATTTTCTAGGCAGCAGAAATGTAAAGAGGAAGTTATTGAAATGCATGCAGTTTCCTTTTAAGATGTGACCTGGGCGGGTGAGGTGGCTCATGCCTGTAATCTATTTGGGAGGCCAAGATGTGGAAGCTTAAGGTTTCAGGCCAGCCTGGGCACGAGACTATCTGACACTCCATCTCAACACAGACATGGTGATTCATGCCTGCCATCCTAGCTACAAACAGAAGCAGAAAATAGGTCAACTGCAGTATAGATGTGGGCCCAGACAAAAGTGAGACCTGATCTCTAAAGAACTAGTGAAAAAAGGATGTGAGGCATACATAACTCAGCAATAAAGAGCCCAGTCAGGCTGGAACTCTTGTTCACATCCCAGAACCACCCAAAAATAAATAAATAAAAACAAAAAGTGACGTGAACATTGTATATCGCTCACATCCCATTGTTCAGGGTTTAACACATGGCCTATGTTAGCCGAAAGGGAGCTTGGGAAATGTGGTTTCTTGCTTGATGCCAATTTGTCTACCTAAATCTGGGAACTTCTATTACTAGAAGAAAGATAGGGACAACCATAGATAATTACTATTTGTTTATTGTGCTGGGCTTGGACTCAGGGGCTTCTCACTCCCAGCTTTTTTTTCTCAAGGCTGATGCTCTACCACTTGAGCCACACCTCCACTTACAGCTTTTTGCTGGGTAGAGATGAGTGTCACAGATCTGCTTGCCCAGGCTGGCTTTGAACTGGGATCCTCAGATCCCAGTCTGTTGCACAGATGGGATCATAGGCATGTGCCACCAGCACCTGGCAGTGGTGGCTGATTAAATTTCCTCTACCATAGACATGCAGACTTCAGGATTAGAGGATGCATGCAAAGCATGGTATCTGGCTTGAGAGAAATCCTTCAGTAGAGAAGTTTGTCTTATTCTGAAAGAGAGGTCCAGCATAGAATTCAGAAGCACTACCCATGTGGGAAGAAAGCTATTGAGGACTTCTTGAGGATTAAGCACATATTTACTCAGCTCAATGCATTTCCCTCATGACCTAAAAACTGAGAGATGCAGGAGGCTGAGATCTGAGGATCATGGTTAGAAGCCAGCTTGGGCAGGAAAGTCCATGAGACTCATGTCCAATTGAAAAAAAAAAAAAAAAAGCTGGAAGTGGAGTTGTAGCTCAAGTGATGGAGATCCTGAGTTTAATCTCTAGTATTACAAGACAAAAAACTTGCAGGGATGGGAGAGGAAAAAGGAGGGAGAACAGGGTTGATATGAATAAGAAGCATGGTACCACTAACCTGACTTAAGGAATTGTGATCCCTTCATGCAACTACTTAATAATAACAATTAGAAAAATAACTTTAAACACACACGCACACACAGAGTTGAGAGATGATTTTCAGTTGGGCACTGAGCTCAGGATAGATATATCATACATCCTGTAAGAATCTATTAGGGAGCAGGGTGCTGGTGGCTCATACCTAGCTACTTAGGGAGGCTGAGATCTGAGAATTATGGTTCAAAGTCAGCCCAGGCAGGAAGGTCTATGAGACTCTGATCTCCAATAAACTCTTCAGAAAAAGCCAGAAGTGGTGCTGTGACTCAAGTGGTAGAGCGCTAGCCTTGAGCACAAAGAGATTCAGGGACAGCACCCAAGCCCTGAGTTCAAGCCCTAAGATTGGCCCAAAAAAAAAAAAAAAAAAAGAATCTATTAGGGGACTATACCCCTTTTCCTGTATAATTGTAGCACCCATGTTTAGTGAGTGAGGTGGAAAGTACTTGTCTGAAGCTTGCTTTGACTTTGAGCTAATAATGAAATTTCCACTTGCCTATGGTCAGGATGGAGATCCCAGGCTGGGAAAGTCATCATTTCCTGAAGGAGGTGTGAACAGCTGGTCCCTGTGGTTACCTACCTAACTATTGTATGCTTAGCCTAAGATCCCATTTGAAAATGATGGGCAAAAGATCTAACCCTAGGGCTGGGAAGGTGGCTCAGTGGTAGAGCGCTTGCCTTGCATGCATGAGGCCCTGGGTTCGATTCCTCAGCACCACATAAGCAAAAAGAAAAAAGCCGGAAGTGGTGCTGTGGCTCAAGTGGTAGAGCGCTAGCCTTGAGCTGAAGAGCTGAGGGACATTGCCCAGGCCCAGAGTTCAGGCCCCACAACCGGACCTAAAAAAAAAAAAGATCTAACCCTAACCCTAATCCTAACCGAAGCTTTGAAGCCTCAAGCTCTCAAGCCACAATTGACCAAAAACAACAACAACAACAAAAACCCCAAAAGAGCCAAGTACTGGTGGCTCCCTCCTGTAATCCTAGCTACTCAGGAGGCTGAGATCTGAGGACTGAAGTTCAAAGCCAGCCCGGGCAGGAAAGTCCATGACACTCTTATCTCCAATAAACCACCAGAAAACAGGAAGTGGTGCAGTGGCTCAAGTGGTAGAGCACTAGCCTTGAGCTGAAGAGGTGAGGGACAGAGTTCAGGCCCAGAGTTCAAGCCCCATGACTGACTACAAACAAAACAAAAAAACCAAAAAATTTATTTTAATTAAAAAATGTACTTTAGTTAAAAAAGAACATTTTTGTTTTAATTTTAAACTTCTTTTAATAATTTGAGAAACTTTAATGTTATGCCCAGCAGAGACCAGATTTTTAATTCCCCAACAGTTACACAGGTAAAACATATATCCTAATGTCCATCAGGGGCTTGAACTCAAGGCTTGATCTTGCTGGGCTTTCTTTCTCACAGCTGATACTATACCACTTGAGCCATGCCTCTATCGTAACCTTCTTTTTTTTTTTTTTGCCAGTCCTGGGGCTTGAACTGGGGCCTGGGCACTGTCCCTGAGCCTCTCTGTGCTCAAAGCTAGCACTCTATCACTTGAACCACAGTATCACTTCTGGCTTTTTCTGAGTAGTTTATTAAAGAGTCTCACAGACTTTCCTGCCCTTACTTGGCTGGCTTCAGCCTCCTTAGTAGCTAGGATTAAAGGCGTAATCCACTGGCACCTGGCTCTATCCCAGCTTTTTGCTGGTTAATTAGAGATGGAGGCTTGAGGGCTTTTCTGCCCAGGTTGGCTTCAAACAGTGATTCTTCAGATTTCACCCTCCTGAGTAGCTAGAATTACAGCTAGAAAGCTACTGGTGCTCAGCACATATATGTCCTTGTAAGTATAAAGTTGATATTCAAAGCTAGACTTTCATCTTTAGGCTTCTTTATAATGTGGGGCTCACTTTGGGTCTTGTTTATAGCTGGTCATCTGAATTTGATTTTCCCAAGGGTTATTCTATAAGTTTTTATTGTGAAAATACTGTACAGAGGGGTTACAGTTAGATGAGCAAGGTAATGAGTACATTTCTTACCAAGCATTGTTGCCTCCTTTGTTTTTCCCTTACCATCCCTTCCCTCCCACCTCCACAACTACACTCTCCCCTCTTTTTCCCTTCCCTTTCTTTCCCTTCCCTCCTCCTCCTTCTCCTCCTCCTCCTCCTCCTCCTCCTCCTCCTCCTCCTCCTCCTCCTCCTCCTTTCTCCCCCTCCCCTTTCTCCCCCTCCCCTTCCTCCTCCTCCTTCCCCTCCTTCTTGTTGGTCATGGGGCTTGAACAGTGGTTCCTGAGCTCTTTTGCTCAACGTTAATGCTCTACCACTTTGAGCTACAGCTCCACTTCTGGTTTTCTGGTGGTTTATTGGAGATGAGTCTCACAGACTTTCCTGCTCAGACTGGCTTTGAACCCCAACCCTCAGATCTCAGCCTCCTGAGTAGCTAGGATTACAGGTGTGTCTTCAGCACCCAGCTTCTTTCTCTCTTCTTAACTTTATTGAGACAAGGTTTCAATATACAGCCCAAGCGGCCTAAGACTCACCACGCAATCTCAGATTCTCAGTCCCTTATCTTAGTCTCCTGAGTATTGGGGTTACAAGTATCTGCTACCATACCTGGCACCACTGTCCCTTAATTAGTCTGCAGGTCTTGAGTTCTGACTCAAATAAGTCATCACTTCAATGCATCTCATTGAAGATTGTGGAAAGTGTGTGCTGGTAGTCTGTAATCCTAGCTACTCAGGAAGCTATGATCTGAGGATTGAAGTTCAAAGCCAGCCTGGACAGGAATGTCTGAGATTATCATTTCCAATTAACCACCGAAAAAAAGCCAGAAGTGGAGATGTGGCTAAAGTGGTAGAGCACCAGCCTAAGGGACAGGACCTAGCCCCTGAGTTCAAGTCTCAGTACCAGCACCAAAAACAAAAAAGAGAAAAAAAAGTGAAATCGCATATCCTCACCCTTTGCCTGCCCTTTGGTCTTTACACGCTTCAGAAATGTCTCTGCATTGAGCCTTCCTGACAGTGTGTGGCAGCTACAAAGAAGTGTTTTGTCTCAGGCAATGAGTGTTGTGTCTTTCTTCTGTAGATCTGCAAAGAGTACAAAGGGGAGGGACGCAAACAGACGTGCAGCGAGCACGCAGCGTGTGAGAGGCTGCACATCTGTGAACACTTCACCCGCGGGAACTGCAAGTACCTCAACTGCAACAGGTCCCACAACCTGATGGACAGAAAGGCGCTCGCCATCATGAGGGAGCATGGCCTGAGCCCAGAGGTGGTTCAGAACATCCAGGACATCTGCAACAACAAGCATGCTCGCAGGAACCCGCCCCGCTCTAGAGGTACTCGCCCAGCCTTAGATAAACCCACGAGCTGTCACATAAACAGGTTCTATGGAATCAGCCCCATGACATTAGCTCACACCTATAATCCTAGTGTTGGAAACACGTGACCTTCTTGTGTCAGAAAATGAATACAGACAACAAGAGATATAGGAGATATTGTTAAGGCAATTTACTTCTCCCCAGAGCTAGACAGGCATACCAGGCAGGGTGGTCTGCTTGGTTTTTATCCTAACCCAAAAGGTGACATTGTCCCTTCTTAAGGAGTCAAGTTTATGATTGGAGGAGGTTGGTAAAGTCTGGAAAGTTCCCACTCAAGGGGGAGTGGTCTTTAACTCTGTGGGTAAAGACTCATACTCTTTAACATAGCTGGCTGGTCACAAACAACACAGATGATAGTTATAATTGAAGTCAAGAAGCAAATAATTCCAGGAAATATCAGTATATATTTGTGACTGGTTACAAGTTGGAGGCATTTCGGCTTGACAGAAAAGATGGCTTTTTCTCACACTAGCTACTCAGGAGATTGAAATCTGAGGACTCCATACCAAACCAACCCAGGCAGGAAAGTCACTGAGACTCTTTATTTCCAATTAATCAACCCCAAAGCTGAATTTGGAACTGTGGCTCAAGTGATAGAGTGCCACTCTTAGGAAAATGCCCAGGCTCTGAGTCAAACCCCAGTAACCCACTAAAAAAATATTCTAGGAATTGAAAGTACCACCTCTGTAATTTCTGGGACCTGTATACATTCAATTTTCTACATTTTCCCTTCCCAAACTTTGTCCGTTGAATGCGCTGTTTAATCTAATTGCAATCAGCATATATATGAGTTTGCAATTTGATATTTTTTGCTTGGCAGAAAAATGTTTCAGATTTTTCCAAGGTTAACTATTAAAGCTGTGTTTCTCCTCTCTCTCTCTCTCTCTCTCTCTCTCTCTCTCTCTCTCTCTCTTTCTCTCTCTTTTGGTCAAAGGGCTTAAACTCAGCCTCCTGAGTAGCTAGGATTATAGGTGTGAGCTACCAGTACCCAGCTTTGTTTTTCTTCTCAACAGAAGGAAATACATTGGGTGTGTGCGTGTGTGGGTGCATGGACACACACACATGCTAGTACTGAGGCATGAATTTAGAGCTTGGGTGTTTACTGCTCCTTAACTTTTTCATTCAGGGCAGGCACTCTACTACTCGAGCCACTCCTCCACTTCTAGCCTTTTGCTGGTTAATTGGAGATGAAAGTCTTGGCTTTGTCTGTCTGAGCTGGCTTCAAACGTCAGCCCTCAGATCTCAGTCTCCTGTGTAGCTAGGAGTACAGGCATGAGCTAGTGGTACCTGGCAGAACAGATAACAGCACTTGGAAAGCAAGGCTGGAAAAGCAGAGGAGTCGCAGTGGTAGAAACTGAATGATGTGAGCTTTTCATTTTCATTATTTGGTTATTTTGTTTTCCTCTTCCCAGCTCCCTTGAATCATAGAGCCCCACCGGCATCACGAGGTCGAAGCAAAAGTAGAGACCGATTTTTTCAGTTCAGCCAAGAATTCAGTTCAACGGCTTATAAGCCCTGCACACCCAGCCTGGGTGCCACGAGTTTTTCGCCTTCTCTCGAGGATGGTATTAATAATCTTGAGGAGGAGTTCAGCTGTCTGGGGCGTGAGGATCTGGCTCAGTCTTCCTCAGCCTCAGCTAAGGTGGCCAGTCTAGGAGGAGCACCTCAAGCAGGAGGAAGCCAGAGAGCATCAAAGGATAATGGTCCCGACAGCTTCTTTTACAGGAATCCTTCTGATTCAACATCCAGCCAGGCTGTTTCTAGCTCTCTCCTTGGTTTTACAAAAACACCTGAAGCCATAACCTCCAGCAAGAGCCTGGGCATTGTTTCATCAGATCACGTGCATGTCAAAGGCAGGAGTGGAACTCAAGACATCCAGCAAGTCCTTCTTAAAAATAAGGCCAACGGAGTGGCTGCAGATCTAACTTCTCTAAGATCTGTCAGTTACAGAGCCGCAGCCATCAATGATCAAAGAGAAGTAACACTGTCTGGGAACCATCTGAACAATGGAAGTACTTTCTGGGATCTCCAGACCACTGGCCAAAAGACTGGTGATGATAAAGACCCAGGATTGACATTTTTGAATGGTAAATATGGAGCTACATACAACACACCGAAGCACCGACTCACTCACATTATGAAGTTACTAATGCAGATCAATTTTGTGTCACAGGTTTGGGCTTAAAAACAGCAGTCACTGGAGAAAAAGATGCATTCTATTTGAGAAGTAAGGGTCCACGAAGCCAGGTCCCAGCCACCCCTGGGGAAGCCACTGCTTCTGCAGGAGTCAGCATGCTGCCCCAAGCACCTCCACCTTCCTCCGTCAGAATTGGAGACTATGGGGCCCAAGGCTCCGCCCACACTCCTGTGAACTCCACCAATGAGCTCTCAAGAAGGTCTACAGGTTCTGCCCAGAGTAAGTCCCCGGAAAGAGGGATTCCCAAATGTTGCCTCTATAGCAGAGGGGAGAGAGAGAGAGAGAGAGAGGGAGAGGGAGAGGGAGAGGGAGAGGGAGAGGGAGAGGGAGAGGGAGAGGGAGAGGGAGAGAGGGAGAGAGGGAGAGAGAGGGAGAGAGAGAGAGAGAGAGAGACCAAACCATGGAACCACATAGAAGATATGGCTGGCTGCATTTACTAGAATTCAGATTAGCACAATCATAGTGTAAGACATCTGGACCTAGGGTCCATGTTTTGTTCTACTGAGTGGCTGAAACCCACATCTTTTCTTGAACATGGTCCCAATTTTGGAGGGACTCTAGGGAGCTCTCAAGTTGAGCTATGAGACCACAAAAGAGTTAAGAGGTTGGAAGGCCACCTCATCAGTACACAGAAGGCTGAGAACTGGACCCTGGAAAGGTTGAAACAGATAAAGTAGGTTATTGTCTAAGTTATGTCTAAGTTGCAGTCTTTTCCCCAAAGCAGTAAGGGAGCCAGTTATTCATTATGCACCCAGACTCTGGGTTCATCTCCATGATTGTAATAACAAAATAGATGGACGTCTTATTTTCTGCATGTACCTATGGTAACCTTCCCTGTACTAACCTAAGTAAATAGGCTTGCTTATGGGAATTGAATGAGCCTTGAACCTTGAGCTCTGGTCCCTAGGTGTTCTACTCTCTCTGTTCTCATTTCTTCGTTCCAGTATCCTGTTGTGTTGTTCCAGGTTGCGGGAAGCAACAGGGAATCATTGCTTTTCATGGTGAGACCAGGTTACCTTATTAAAAAAAAAATTTAATGTGAAACACTTATGCTCTTGTTTTACAGATTCTATGTCTGGGATCTCAAGTATCACATCTACAATGAATAATGCTGGCCCAAAGGAAATTTGTCTAGACCATCTGTATATGGGTTGTAAAGTGAATGGTAAGTGACAGAACTTCTGCTATGAGCACAGGTATGCTAATATTTGCTCAAGCATTTCCTGTCACTTCTTTTAGGGAAATACCCAGAGATGGAATTGGTAATTAGATATTTAATTGTGGGCAAACCATTTTCCATAGTGGATGGGTCATTCTTCATCCTCACCTGCAGTGTACAAGGTTGCACATTTCTCCACATGCTTCCTAGGACCAAGGAGATAAGTAAGACACACCTCTGTTTCTGTCCCTGAGATGGAAAGCCATTTCCGGAGAGGATAAACATGGGAGGAAAGGCCGTCCATAGGCTGGGGCCCAGATGGAATGAAAGGAGAAAAAGGAGAAAGCTACTTAGCACAGGCGTATTCTCTCGGTCTCTGTCTCTGTCTCTCAATCTGTCTCTGTCTCTTTCTCTCTCTCTTTCTCCCCTTCTCCTTACTTGTCCCTTTTCTTCCCTTCTCCTTTCTTTCTCTCCTGTCCCCTCCCTTCCTCCCTTTCCTTTCCTCTTTCCTTATCTTCTCCCTCTTTCCTTTATCCCGTACCCACTTTCTTTCTCTTTGATAGCAGCCATTCTAATGGTAGGGATGGGTACTTAACATTTCTTTATCAGCCTCTGCTTAAACTGCCAGTCTGGGGCTTTCCCTGTAGTACCTTTTTGTGTTAAAGCAGTCACATACCTTTTGAACATTTCAAAGCAATGTAAACTTAACAGGACAGGGAAACAAAACACACCCAAACAGCTATTTTCCATATTCCTGTGTCAGGGGCCTCTAACATCTACCTCATTTTTGAGTTTCATTTGATAGCCATTCCCCACCCCTACCCCCCATGGCTACCCATGCTGCTCACACAAAGGGGACAAAGCTAAGCAGTGATGCAATCTTCTTCCTAAGGTTTCTGATTAGAGTGAGGCTTCACATCACCCAGCAGTAAAAAGAGCTGCATCCAGTTGGGCGCCAGTGGCTCAAGCCTGTAGTCCTAGCTACTCAGGAGGCTGAGATCTGAGGATCGCAGTTCAACGTCAGCCCAGGCAGGAAAGTCCGTGGGACTCTTATCTCCAATAAACCACTCAGAAAACCGGAAGTGGTGCTGTGGCCATGTAGCCACAGAAGGGAAAGGTTGGCAGAGCATGGAGAGCCAGCGGTGAAACTCGGTTGAATTTTGTCTACACCTGTAGACCTGTCTCTCTTTCTAGGCAACTGCAACAAAATACACTTTCACCTGCCCTACCAGTGGCAGATTCTGATTTCCAACACCTGGAGGGACTTGCCGGCCATGGAGCAGATCGAGGAGGCCTACTGTGACCCTCAGAAGCACAAGTAAGTTCGTGACTGGCCTCTGGCTTAGGAAATTCAAGCACAGTGCTAGGCTTATGCTACATGGAGCCTGGCTAATGCCAGGAAATGCTGGAAATTTTGCTAAGACAAATGAAATGGACAGTGATATGATTATGCATTCAGTTGATACCAGCTGTGTGTCCTGCAGAAAAACATAGGACAGAGGGCATTGCATTCATTTTAAGAGTTGTTAAAAGTATTAAATGAGGCCAAGCTCAGTGGCTTAGGAATGGAGTTTGGGAGGATTGTGGTTTAAGGCCAACCCTGGCAAAAAGTCAGAAGACCCTATCTCTGTCAACAGCTGTGTGTGGGATGGTCTGTCTTTCATCCCAGCTATGTGGGAGGTGGAGTTAGGGAACGGGAGATAACAAGACACCTCATGTAAGCAGGGATTGTAGTGCAGGTTGGCCTGGGATAGAAGACTCCATCTGAGAAATGGCAGAAGCAAAAACGATAGGGGAGGGCATGACTCAAGTGGTAGATACAGACAAGAATTCAAAGAATAGAAAGGAAGGGGAAGAGTTACTAAGTGATTCAGAACAAATGAAACTTTGACTTAATTGCATTTTTTTTTGGGGGGGGGAGAGTTAGTCATGGGGCTTGAACTCTGGGCCTGGGCGCTGTCCCTCAGCTCTTCAGCTCAAGGCTAGCACTCTACCACTTGAGCCACAGTACCACTTCTGGCTTTTTCTGTTTATGAGGTGCTGAGAAAGTGAACTCAGAGCCTCATGCATGCGAGGCAAGCACTCTACCACTGAGCCACCTTCCCAGCCCCTAATTGCATAATTTTAAAACGTGGTTTGAGCTGGAGGCGTGGCTCAAGTGGTAGAGTACCTGCTAAACAAGTGAAAGACCCTGAGTGGAAACCTCAGTATCACACTCCCCTTCCCAAAATAGAGAGCACATGATTTGGATAATTCGATATCCTAATGCAAGAATTTGTTATCTATCCCTCCTTTCTTTCCTTCCGCCCTCCCTCCTCTCTTTACTTCTTCCTTTTCCCCTCCTTCTTTCCTTTCCTTTTCCCTTCCCTTCCTCCCTTCTCTTTTCCTCTCTTCCCCCTCCTTCTTCCCACTCCTCCTCCCTCAGCCTGAACCCACAACCTTGCACTTGAGTGCTATACCACTTGAACTATGACCCTGGCCCTTTGTATTTTGTTTTTGATTTTGTCAGGACTAGTCTAGCAATCATCCTAGTAATGCCTCCTAAGGAGCTAAGATTACAGGCATTCTATTATACCCTGCTTCTACTTTATGTAGCTATATTCTTTATTATACATTAGCTAAGGGGATAGTTTGCATTTCTCCTTCAGGGATGGAATGGATGGTACTCACATGACTGTATTTATTGGTGATGTGCAGGGATGTGAGATGAATTCAAGTTTCACAGGGAAATTCCTTGGTGGTGGTGGGGACCTAAATGCCGAATTCCTCCTATGCAAAATACAGTAAACTTTGGGTAGAGATTCTTTGTTGCCAAGTGCTACCAGTAGAGGGCAGCATTGGATGTGCTCTCCTTTCTAGGATAACTATCTTGAGGCTTGAACTCAGGGCCTTGCACTGTCCCTTAGCTTTTTCACTCAAGGCTGATGCTCTACCACTTGAGCCACAGCTCCACTTCCAGTTTTTTGTGTGGTTAATTGGAGTTTTGAGTCTAATGGACTTTCCTGCCGAGGCTGTCTTTGAGCCATAATCCTTAGATAGGAGTCTCCTGAGTGGCTTGGATTACAGGTGTGAGTCTCTGGTGCTCAGCTGGCATCTATTCTTGATCCCAGTGAGCATCATCCTCCCTGTTCCCAATTTCCTATCTTTATTACAGCAGCAGTTCCCAAACTTTTTCATCAAACTCTTTTTTTTCATTTCTGTCTTGCTTGGTTTTGTTTGTGAGATGGTTAGAGCTATGGTCTGTAGCCTGGGTTGTCCTTGAATTTAAGATCCTCCTGTCTGGGCCTCTGGAATGCTAATGTTTACAGATGTGTACCACCATGCTAGCTTCAACATTCTTAAACTGTACTATGATCCCAATGTCTTCCTACTTCTGTGAATTATAGGTCTTGTATTAAAAAATTAAACTGTGGCTCAGACCTGTAATCCTTGACTTAAAGCCATGGGGGGGGCAGGGGGGAAGGGGGACTGGGAAAATTGTGAAACCTCTATCTCAACCAATAAAAGCTGAATGTGGTTACGTACACTCATTTGAGCTACATGGAAAACATGAATAGGAGTATCACAGTCCAGGCTAGTTTAGGAATAAAGGGGAGTCACTATTCAAAAAAATAACTGAATGCTGCTGATCACATATATGGTATATAACATGTGAACACCGTTATATGTTACAGACTGTGATAGACAATTTGCTCCAGGAAAGTTAGAATGAACTTGTGATTTTAAATGAGCATCATTATTCCACAATACTGTGAAATTCTGGAAATTATGTAATCACTTAGTAACAATTTAAAAAAAAAAAAAAAGAACCTCGGGGAAGGGAGGGAGGGATGGTAGGGGGAAAACAATGGAGGGGGTAAAAAAAAATAAAAATTAAAAAAAAAAAATAGGTAGAGTGCTAGCCTTGAGCTAAAGAAGCTCAGGGACAGTGCCCAAGCCCTGAGTTCAAGCCCCAGGAGGCAAAACAAAACAAAAACAAAACACAAAAAACAAAAAACTAATTTCTCGAACTTCTGTGCTGTCATTAGAGGACAGCAGAATATAAGAAAGTGAGGGGGCTGGGAAGGAGGCTCAGTGGTAGAGCGCTTGCCTTGCATGCCTGAGGCCCTGGGTTCGATTCCTCAGCACCACATAAGCAAAAAGAAAAAAGCCAGAAGTGGCGCTGTGGCTCAAGTGGTAGAGCGCTAGCCTTGAGCTGAAGAGCTGAGGGACAGCGCCCAGGTCCAGAATTCAGGCCCCACAACCGGACCCCAGAGCGCTAGCCTTGAGCTGAAGAGCTGAGGGACAGTGCCCAGGCCCAGAGTTCAGGCCCCATGACCGGACCCCAAAAAATAAAAAAAAAAGTGGGTCCTGCAGGGCCCAGGGAACCTTTCATTACCTTCTTCTTCCTTCTCAGAATTTCAATAGGGAACCGTGAAATCGATTTCAAGAAGATGATTTGTGATTTTCATCCCATCCGACGCCTCTCCACCCCTTCCGCTGCCGTCCCGGAGCTGGCCAATGCTGTCTTCACCACCAAATGGCTTTGGTATTGGAAGCACAAATCTGGTAAATGGATACAATATGGAGCAGAGGTGAGTGCCAGTCCTACTGAAAAAGGCCCTTATGTACACGTGCCAACATTAAAATCCCAAGCAGCTACTAACGAAATATTTGGAGTCAGTATGCCTCCCCATGGGAAGTGCACATGGAGGAAAGCACGTATTTGTCTCTTCCCATCTACTCCAGTAGGTCTGGGAAACAAATGGATGAATTGCCTTTGTGTGTGTGTATGTGTGTGCATGCTGGTACTGGTGTTTGAACTCAGGCCGAGGAACTGTCTCATAGTGTTTTCATTCAGATCTCAGCCTCCTGAGTAGCTAGGATTACAGGTATGAGCCACTGATGACCAGTTCGGATACTATTTCTTTTTTTTATTGGTTGGTTGTGGGACTTGAACTCTGGGCCTGGGCGCTGTCTCTCAGCTCTTCAGCTCAAGGCAAGCACTCTACCACTTGAGCCACAGCGCCACTTCTGGTTTTCTGGTGGTTAATTAGAGATAAGAGTCTCACGGACTTTCCTGGCCTGGCTGGCTTTGAACTGTGATCTTCAGATCTCAGCCTCCTGAGTAGCTAGGATTACAGGCACAAGTCACTGGTGCCCAGTGATTTGTGTGTGTGTGTGTGTGTGTGTGTGTGTGTGTGTGTGTGTGTGTGTGTCCTAGGACTTGAACTCAGTTCTCAGAGTTCTGAGTGGGGAACCTATACACCTTCACTAACAAAAATAGGTGCATATGCTCCCTCTGGGAAGCCCCTCACAGCCTGGCTTGGGAAGTGAAACACACTCCTGTTCAAATCCTTCAGCTGAAATAAAACTACAAACTAGCACAGTAGAGACTGCCTAAACGCCAATCCTGAAGTCTTCATCTTTTTTCTTTCTGTTTAATTTAACTGAACTAGTATGACAACCAACCCAGTTCAGACATCGACTCTTCCTACCTGGAGTCCTTTTATCTGTCCTGTCCCAGAGGAGTTGTGCCATTTCAGGAGGGTTCGAGGAACTTCGAGCTGAGTTTCCAAGGTGAGTTATATGTCCTTGGAAACCAGAACATCCTGCACCTGTGAGAGAGGGAACAATTGAGAAACATAGCCTCACTCAGGGTCATGGCCACACCAGGGTAAAGGTTTTGTGTGGGTGTGTATCTGCACGCGCATGCAAGCACAAACTAGGACCTGAGAGCTGTCCCTGAGATTTATCTGCTCCATGCTGACACTTTACCACTTGAGCCACAGCTCTACTTCTGACTTTTTGCTGGTTAATTGGAGATAAGAGTCTCATGGACTTGCCACAACTGGCTTTGAACCACAGTCCTCAGATCTCTACTTCCTGAGTAGCTAGGATTATAGGCATGAACCACTACCACCTAGCTTAGGTGGATATTTGTTGTTGTTGTTGTTTGTCGGTTATGGGGCTTGAACTCTTGGCCTGGGCGCTGTCCCTCAGTTCTTCAGCTCAAGGTTAGTGCTCTACCACTTGAGCCACAGCACCACCTCTGGTTTTCTGAGTGGTTTATTGGGGATGAGTCTCGCGAGGGCTGGGAAGGTAGGTCAGTGGTAGAATGCTTGCCTTGCATGCATGAGGCCCTGGGTTCCATTCCTCAGCACCACATGAAAAAGACCTCAGGACCAACAAAAAAAAGTCTCACCGCCTTTCCTGCCTGGGCTGGCTTTGAACCATGATCCTCAGATCTCAGCCTCCTGAGTACTGGGATTATAGGCATGAGCCACCAGTGCCAAGTTTTGTTTTGTTTTTTGTTTCATTTTTTTTTTTAATCTTCAAGAAGGCTACCAGTTCCAACCCATAATCACTTCTGTCTGCTTCAAAGCAGCTTAAGTAGTTGCTGTTTGTTATCTGAGTGCCTTAGTTCTCCTCTTTTTCTGACTTCCGTGTACAGATTTGGTTAATTTCTAAATGTACTTTCACCACTTGATAGCAGAATCTTTTAATTAGGGCAACGAAGGATCTAATTTTTTCTTTTTTTAATTGGTCATGGGGCTTGAACTTGGCCTGGGTGCTGTCCCTCAGCTCTTCAGCTCAAGGCAAATGTTTTACCACTTGAGCTACAGCACCACTTCCAGTTTTCTGGTGGTTAATTGAAGATAAGAGTCTCATGGACTTACTTTCCTGCCCAGGTTGGCTTTGAATCATGATCCTCAGATCTCTGCCTCCTGATTAGCAAGGATTACAGGTGTGAGCAGCAGTCCTGGAGAGCAATTGTGCAAATAGCTTCTGAAAAAGGAGCTATCTATCTATCTATCTATCTATCTATCTATCTATCTATCTATCTATCTATCTACCTATCTATCTATCTATCTGTCCAGTCCTGGGGCTTGAACTCAGGATCTGGGCACTGTTCCTGAGCTTCTCTGGCTCAAGGCTAGCACTCTACCACTTGAGCCACAACACCACTTCTGGCTTTTTCTGTTTATGCAGTACTGAGGAATCAAACCCAGGGCTTCATGCATGCTAGGCTAGCACTCTCCCTCTAAGCCACATTCCCAGCCCCATTTTTATTTTTTTAAGGCTAGTTTTTGGCTTTTGTTTCTTAAGGGATGATTCAGACAAACGTTGATTCCAAGACGCAGAAGGATGTCGTCCGAAGGCCGGTGTTTGTTTCTTCGCGGGATGTGGAGCAGATCAAAGCAAGAGCAGTGTAAGTGTTCTGAAGTGCTCTTAGAACACCTGCAGATGTGTGCAATGTTCTCAGCCTCCTCATCAAGTGCCTCTGGCATCTAGCTCATCCTGTGTTCTTGGAAAGCTGCTTACATTCCACTGTAATTTTTCCTTTTTGTTTTTGTGTTTTATTTTTTTAGTCCTGGGGCTTGAACTCAGAGCCTGGGCACTGTCCCTGAGCTTCTTTTGCTCAAGGTGAGCACTCTACCACTTGAGCCACAGCACCACTTCTGGCTTTTTCTCTTTATGTGGTACTGAGGAATCAAACCCAGGTCTTCATGATGCTAGGCAAGCACTCTACCATGAAGCACCCAGGTCCATGACAAAAAAAAACCAAAAACAAAAAAGACTACATTGCTTATGAACATTTTTGGAGTGGGATTTCTCCCCCTCCCCAGATGACTAAAGTATGATTATGCGAGAATCAGCCCTCCCCCTCCAGCTGCCAATCACGCCAGGCCGCAGGGCGTCAAAGGGCAGCTTGGTGGGGGTCCGCCACTGGATATAGGGAGGAGGAGGATCCCGGGAGGGATAGAAGGGAGGGAGGGACGCTGTCCCTGGAGCAGATCAGTGCCCAGGCTCTCCTCAGGCCTGCGTAGAGGTCCAGGGAGACCTGGGCTGGAACAGAGGCCCAGGCGGGCGGATAGGCCTGAGGACACCCACACAGGGCCAAGAGGAAGAGGTGCAGGGCCGAGGAGGCCTACGCTGGGCCCAGAGGCCGGTGGAGAAGCTCGCTGAGAGGCCGAGAGGCCTGTGAAGACCCAAAAGGCCTGTGAGAGCTGGAGAGGCCCGTGGTGAGCAGAGAGGCCTGCGGAGAGTGGGAGAGGAAACCGGAAGTGGCGCTGCGGATCAAGTGGGCTCCAGCTCACTTGAGCTGAAGAGCTCAGGGACAGCACCTAGACCCAGAGTTCAAGCCCCACGATGGACAAAGAAAGTTGGGGAGACTCAGCTAATGGTTGTACACTGTGTTAAATGCCTGTGGTCTACAATGACCTGGGGAAGCACAAGGAGGAAGATGACAACTCAGGCCAGCCAGGGTAAAAACCAAACACTCCCTCATAAATAACCCCTGGAGAAAGGGCTGAGCAGTGGCTTGGTGGTAGAGTGCCTGCCTGCCTGCCAAGCACAAGGCCCCGAGTTCAAGCCACAGCACCTCCAAAGGAAAGGGAAAACAGACTATTTTCCTTAATGCATTTGTTTTTTAAGTGTTATAGGCAGACGCTTTAGACCACACATGAAAAATAGAGAAAAAGACAGGTTGGCTTGGCTAATAGGTACAGCCCTGTATTTAAACTCCTATACTGCCAAAAATCCACAAAAAAAGGTAATAGGGTGGGGGAGGGAATTTAGGAGAAAAATGAGGGAAGGGGCCGGAGGCCACTGGCTCACACCTGTAATCCTAGCTACTCAGGAGGCTGAGATCTGAGGATCACTTTTCAAAGCCAGCCCAGGTAGGAAAGTCCACAAGACTCTTATCTCCAGTGAACCACTAAGAAGATCGGAAGTGGCGCTGTGGCTCAAGTGGTAGAGCGCTAGCCTTGAGCTGAAGAGCTGAGGGACAGTGCCCAGGCCCAGAGTACAAGCCCCACAACTGGGCCCCTCCCCCCCAAAAAATGAAGGGGCTAACAAGTTTGACAAGAAATGTACTTATTATCTTATGTAACTGTAACCCCTCTGTAATCACCTTAACATAAAAAGAATTGATGTGATGTCAAATTTTAAATATCAACCAGTGTAGAGAATTGTATAATAAACTGCTGTGTACCCAACACGTTTCTTCAGTGCTAGTTTTTTACCATCTTGTTTCATCCACTTTTATAATTTCCAATTTTTTATTTCACTGGAATATTTTCTCCTGCCCTCCCTGCTTCCCTCCACTACCCCCCCCCCTTTTTTTTTTTGGTGGTCATGGGTCCTGAACTCTGGGTCTGGGTGATGTCCCTCAGCTCTTCAGCTCAAGGCTAGCGCTCTACCTCTTGAGCCACAGCGCCACTTCTGGCCTTCTCTGCTTATGTGGTGCTGAGGAATCCAACCCAGGGCCTCATGCATGCAAGGCAAGCACTCTACCACTGAGCTACCTTCCCAGCCCTTTTTTTTTTGTACCATTATCAGGGCTTAAACTCAGGGTCTTTTACTGTGCTTTTTTACTCATGGCTTGTGCTTTACCACTTGAGCCATGCCTCCATTTTATTGACCAATTGGAGATGGAGTCTCGATTTTTCTGCTTGAGCCGGCTTCAAATCTCAACCCTCAGGTCTTAGGCTTCTAAGTAGCTAGGGTTACAGGCATGAACCATGGGTGCTCATCCTCACTAGAGTTGTTTTGTTTTTTTTTTAATATAATTTTATGGTTAAAGTATTGAACAAAAGGGCTAACATTTTATAAGTCAGGTAATTAGAATTTCTTTGAACAGTGTCACCCCTTCCTTTACTTTCCCTCAACTTCTCCCTTCCATCCTTGCCCATAAGTTACATTGTTCCTGTCCCACATAGTGTATACTGAATAGCATGATTGCATTTGTTCACCCTCTTTCCCTTCCCAAAAATAAAAATAAAAATAAAAAACAGCATCACCACCAACAAAAAGCCATGTTTCTATTTCTTGACATTAGTTTTAATACAATAGTATTTTAAATGTTAGAGCAGTTACACATTTGGGTTCCTCCACTTTAGAGTGCTATGTAGGTCATCATGTCCAGTTATATTTTAGCTCTAATTTACACATATGAGAGAAACCTGTGCTGTTTGTCTCTCTGAGCTTGGCATACCTCACTTAACATGGTTTGTTCTAGGTCTAGCTATATTCCTTCAAATGACAGTCTCTTTCTAATGGATGAGTAAAATGCAATTGTGTGTATATACTACATTTTATTGATCTACTCATCAAATCTAGGGCATCTGGGCTGTTTCCATAACTTGGCTATTATGAATAGTGCAGCAGTGAACATGGATGTGCCAGTGACTGTATTGTATCCTGACTTGTGATGTTCTGGGTAGATGCCCAGTAGTAGGACTGGGTCATAGGGAAGGTCTATGTTTAGTTTTTTAAGGAATTTCCAGACTGCTGTCCAGAATGGTTTGCATTCCCACCAACAGTGCAATAGGATTCTTCTTTCCCACATCTCTGCCAACATTTGTTCAAATTCTTGGTGTTGGCTAATCCATCTGGGATGAGATGGAACCTCAGAGTTGTTTTGATTTGCATTTCCTTTATGGCCAGGGATGATGAGCATTCCTCATGTGTCTATTTGCAGTCTTCTGAGAAGTCTCTTTTAAACTCCTTTGGCCATTTATTGTTTGGTTTATTAGTTTTTTGGGGGAGGAGAGGGTTTAATTTCTTGAATTCCTTGTATATTTTGGATATTAGGCCTTTGTCTGATGTATTGCAAGTAAAGATCTTTTCCTAGTCTGTTGGCTATCTTTCTAGTTCAGTAACTAGGTTCCTTTGCTATGCAAAAACTATTTTGATGTCATCCCATTTGTCAAGTCTCTCTCCTATTTGCTTTGCTCCAGGACTCTAAAAAATTTTTGTACCTATGCCTATTAATTCTAATCTTTCTCCTACTCCCTCTTGCAGTAGTTTCAGAGTTTCAGGTCTGACATTGAGGTCTTTGATCCACTCTGAGATACTGGTACAACAGTATCCAATTTTATCCAACAGGTATCCATCTGATCTTAATTTTCGACATATGAATGTCCAGTTTTTCCAACAGCAATTACTGAAGAGGCTATCTTTTTTCCACAGTGTATCTTGTCTCCCCTGCCAAATATAATAAATAACCGGAGGTATATAGCTTTATTTCTGGATCTTCTGTTCTGTTCTGTTGATCTTTGGGCCTGTTTTTGTGCAGTACCAAGCTATTTTTGTTGTTACAGCTCTGTAGTAGAGCTTGAGGTCTGGGATTGTAATGCTACCAGAATTGCTGTTTTTTGCCTAGAATTGCTTCAGCTATTTGAGGTCTTTTGTTGTTCCATATCAATGTTTGGATTGTTTTCTCTGTCTCGTTGAAGAATGTCATTGGGATTTTGATGGGGATTGTGTTAAATTTGTACATTGCCTTTGGTAGTATGGCCATTTTCATAATATTAATTCCACCTATCCATGAACATGGAAGGTCTTTCCATTTCCTGATGTCATCTTCAATTCTTTCTTCAGATTTTTAGTTTTCATGATAAAGATCTTTGGCTTCCTTAGTTAGGTTTATTCCTAAATATATTTTGAGGCTATTGCAAATGGCATTGTTTTTCTGATTTCCCTCTCTGCCTGTACATGGTTGATGTACAGAAAGGCTGCTGATTTTTGTGGGTTGATTTTTATATCCTACTACTTTGCCAAAGTTATTAATCAGCTCTAAGAGCTTGGAGATGGAGTCTCATATCTGTTAGATACAAGATGATGTAATCCACAAGTAGGGATAGTTTGACTTCTTTTTCTATCTGAATCCCTTTTGGAATATTTTTTGTAAATCCCACAAAGACTCATTTCTCTGTAGATATATCAGGTATGTCTCTAACAGATGTACAATACTATTATAGAATAACTCACTTAACAAATCAGACAATAATTGCTTAATATCACATAATATCTAGTTCAAGTCATGTTCTCTGCTTCCCCATTGTCTTCTAAATGACCTTTTTGTACTGGTTTATTCCCGTTGGAATCCAAACATGATCTGTTCATTACATTTCATTGATTGGTCTCTTAAGCTTCTTTTATTCTATGCAGTTTCCCTCCTCTGCTTTTTTCATGCAGTTTGTCTTTAAGAAGCTGGATAATTTGAATTCAAAATTTACTAAACTGTATTCTGATGAGGTCACTTGATGGGTAATTTCTGTCAATTGATGATTAGATTGAGGGGGTTGATTAGATTCAGGTCCAGTTTTTGGTCAAGAATCTGCTACAAGGGATGTTTTGTACTTCCTGTCACCTCTTATTAAGGACATGCTTAACATCCCATTGTCCTATTTTTAGTGAAGCAGATTAAGTCACTGCCGTCTGATCCTTCCATTATAGAATTCCTCATCTTGTCTGTCATTAATGCTATTAACTTAGTAGCCCTTGATAGTCACAGGCTAGGTCCAGTTGGTCATTATGTGTTGCAAAATGACAAGTTTTGTTTTAATTTCTGTTTTCTTGGCTTTGATTCATCTAAAGAATTTTCCCTTATGTCTGTTACCCTGAAATCAAGTTTACACAGGAAAAGGGGAGGTTCTGGACTCCTCAACTTGAATGTCTGTCATTAAGAAAAAACAAACCCTGCCCGACACTGATAGCTCACACCTGTAATCCTAGCTACTCAGGAGACTGCAGTGTGAAGGTTGTGATTCTAAGCCAGTTCAGGCAGAAAAGTCCAGGGGACTCTCACTCTTTTCTATCCAATTAACCAGTGAAACGCCAGAAGTGGAAGTGTGGCTCAAGTGGTAATGTGCCAGCCTTGAGTGAAAAAGCCAACCGGGAGCACACAGGCCCTGAGTTCAAGCTCTAGTCCTGGCACACACACAAAAAACAACAACAAACGAAAACCAGCCTTGATCACTGGCACCGCTCTACCAGGATGTGCAAGGATGATGTTTAATCCAAAATGAAATAGCAATTCATGCTTTTCTCCAGGAAACTTTGGCTTCGTGGCTGGAGTTAGGTTAGAGCATCATTTGGGCTGATGGAATGGGACCCAAGTGAATTCTCTCTCCTTTATTTGTAGCCATCAGCCTCTGGGGAGCAGGTCAGAAGCTTTAACTTCAGAATTTCATCTTCAGACAGTGGCTGACTCCCTCCCTGCCAGTACCTATGAGGTATGTGGGTTTTCTTTGCTTCGTGGGGGAATCCTTTAGAGTTGAGGAAGGATTTTGTGATACCCGTATGCTTGTCTGTTTGAATGAATGAAGGTGCTCTGTAAATTACTGAGATCCAGATTCAAAGGCAGACCTGAAATGTGACTCTGCTGTTGTTCCATACAACAGCTGGCCTCGGCATGCCATGGTTTGGCGGGGAGGGGAGTTAGCCACATGTTTTCATCCACACAAATCCTCACCACAGTCCTATGAGGTAGAGCATAATACCTGTTTTTTTTTGTCAGTCGTGGGTCTTGAACTCTGGGCCTGGGCGCTGTCCCTCAGCTCTTCAGCTCAAGGCGAGCGCTCTACCACTTGAGCTACAGCGCCACTTCCGGTTTTCTGGTGGTTTATTGGAGATAGGAGTCTCACGGTCTCTCCTGCCCGGGCTGGCTTTGAACCGCGATCCTCAGATCTCAGCCTCCTGAGTAGCTAGGATTACAGGCGTGAGCCACCAGCGCCCAGCCATAATACCTGTTTTTGTGTATGTGTATGTGTGTGTAGGGTTTTGGTTTTTGTTTTGGTCTTGTTAATGTGTTTTACAGAAGGGTTGCCATTTCTTAGATAATGAGTACATTTCTTTTTTTGGATAATGTCACTTCTTCCGTCACTTTTCCCGTTTCCCCTTCCCATCTCTCGCCAAAGTTACACAGGTCATTTTCCACACAGTGTATACTGAATAGCATGATTGCATTTGTTCATCCTCCCTTCCTCCCTTTCACTCCCTTTATTCCTCCAGAAGAAAAAAAAATCCAAAGCAGAAACAAACACCACCACCAACAAGAAAATCCAAGTTTTTATTTTTGTTTTGTTTTGTTTTATTGTTTTGTGCTCGTACTAGTGCTTGAATTCTTGCTTGCCTTTTTTGCTCAAGGCTGGTGCTCTACCACTTGAGCCACAGCTCCACTTCAGCTTTTTTTTTTGTCAGTGGTGGAGCTTGAACTCAGGGTCTGGGTACTATCCCTAAGCTCTTTCACTCAAGACTAGCATTCTACTACTTTGAGCCACAGGACCACTTCTGGTTCTTGAGTGGTTCATTGGAGAAAAGACTCTCACTGACTTTTCTGCCCTGGCTGGCTTTGAACTGTTATCCTCAGATCTCAGCCTCCTGAGTTGCTAGGATTACAGGCATGAGCTACTAGTGGCCTATAATACTTCCATTTTACAGATGAGAAAACTGCAACTCAGAAGTAACTGTTTCTTACCTAGCCTGGTTGTGGCAAGACTATACCTAGACCATCTTGCTTCAGCTGTTGTACAGAGATCTCGGGGATCTGTGATTACCACCAGTTCCTGTGTCAATGTGCTAGTTTTGGAGCTTTAGGCAAATAACTTGCCAAGTCTCTAGCTGCCCATGAAGGTGTCCTTTTGCCCTGAGGCCTAAGTGTGAAGAGGCCCCAGGACCTGAAGGCAGCCTGTCTTACCCAAGCCTGGCAATGATCCTCATGGATTGAGGGTTGAGCATACATTTGTATGTGGCATGCTTTTTGTGTCTCCTGCTTCACATTTACATGCTTCATATCTTTTCTAGTTGTTGGAGCTGAATAGTTACTGTCAGGAATATGCAACAATTAGTGAACATTTTAAGGCTTCTATGAAAAATTTCAAGATTGAAAAGATAAAGAAGATCAACAATCCAAAACTCTTGGATACTTTTGAAAGGTTGGTAGCCACATTTGGGGGTTGGGTTTTGTTTGTTTGTTTTTGTAGTTGTGGGGTTTGTTTTTGGTGCTGTCAATGGGGCTTGCACTCAGGGTATTAGGCGTTTGCTTAGCTTTTTCATTCTAACCTGGCACTCTGCCACCTGCCATGATTCCCACTCGGAGCTTTTTAGTGTTAATTAGCTAATTGGAGATCAGAGTCCTACAGATTTGTCGGCTTGGGTTGGCGTTGAACTGCGACCTGCAGATCTCAGCCTCCTGAGTAGCTTAGGATTACAAGTATGAGTGCCCAGCTACCTTATGGGGTTTCTTTACAGAAAAGCGGGGTGTGCTACAGTCTTTTCAGTTTATATTTACTGTTTTATTTTAGTAGACAACAGTTTTTCTGTCTCTACTAGTTTTTCCATTGTATAAACTTGAGTTCCGCCAGGTGCCAGTGGCTCACGCCTGTAATCCTAGCTACTCAGGAGGCTGAGATCTGAGGATCACGGTACAAAGCCAGCCTGGGGAAGGAAAGTCCATGAGACTCTTATCTCCAATTAACCACCTGAAAATTGCAAGTGGTGTTGTGGCTCAGGTGGTAGAGCACTCACCTTGAGCTGAAGAGCTGAGGGACTGCCCGGGCCTAGACTTCAATCCCCACGACTGACAAAAAACAAACAAACAAAAAGACTTGAGCTCCCCTCTTGCAGTTTGCAAACCTTACAAGTTAATGATTTTATGTGTCTTTAAATTTTTTCATGAGTTTATTTTATTTTTTGTCAGTCATGGGGCTTGTACTGTGGGCTTGGGAGCTGACCTTGCACTCTTCAGCTTAAGGCGAGTGCTCTACCACTTGAGCCACCGTGCCACTTCTGGTTTTCTAGTGGTTTTTATTGGAGATAAGAGTCTCATAGTGAGATGCTAGTGGCTCATGCCTGTAATCCTAGCTACTCAGGAGGCTGAGATATGAGGATCATGGTTCAAAGCCAGCCCGGACAGGAAAGTCCGTGAGACTCTTATCTCCAATAAACCACTCAGAAAACTGGAAGTGGCACGGTGGCTCAAGCGGGAGAGCTCTAGCCTTGAGCTGAAGAGCACAGGGACAGCACTCAGGCCCAGAGTTTAAGCCCCACAACCAAAAAAAAAAAGTCTCATGGTCTTTCCTGCCTGGGCTGGCTTTAAACCTTTATCCTTAGATCTCAGCCTCCTGAGTAGCTAGGATTACAGGTGTGAGCCTGTACAATGAATTGTTGACTGAATTTTCCCTTTTGAAAGAAGATGATTTAAGATGATTTCAAGATTGGTTGTAGGATTGATGTTTATTAACTAGAACAAAGAGAATCTCCTTGATGGTAATTCTTATACTTCCTTATCATAGCAAGAAATGGACGATGAATAAGAGAGACGAGAAACTTCTCTTCTATGCAACAAGCCGTGCCCATGTAGATTCCATCTGTGCAAATAATTTCGACTACGTCTTACATGGAGCTCATGAAACCAAATATGGAAAAGGTTTGTACTAGAATAGAGAAAGCTAACTAGCTGAATCATGCTCTAGGTCTATACATGCTTCTGTTAAAAGGGATGTGTAAAGCCAGGCACTGGTGGCTCACACCTGTAATCCTAGTTACTCAGGAGGCTGAGAGCTGAGAATTGCGGTTCAAAGCCAGCTAAGGCAGGAAAGTCTGTGAGACTCTTATCTCCAATAAACCACCAGAAAACTGGAAGTGGCCTGTGAATCAAGTGGTAGAGCGCTCGCCTTGAGTTGAAGAGCTGAGGGACAGTGCTCAGAGGCACAGCGTTGAAGTCCCATGATGGGAAAAAAAAAAAAAAAACTGCTTCTAGAGGTAATAGAAATGTCTCTGGAGAAAACCCAAAAGAATCCAACAAAGAGCCGAATGCTAGCTTTACAGGAATTGGGCCTGGCTTCCAGTGTGCTGTCTCTTCCCTGTCCTCTGTCCAGTAGCCATTTGCCGTGCCATTAGAGGCAGTGGCGGCCATGTGAACTCTCAGCCTGGGAAGGGTTCCTTCCTCAGGTTACAGCAGCATTTTACAATTAATTGCCAAATCTTATTTTGATTTTTATGAATTGGATCATGATTCTTTCTTTTGATATTCCTTCCAATAATTACAATTCTCCTTGAGGCAAAATATGTCTGACTAAGGCTGGATGGGAGGCCCTGAGTTTAAGCCCAAGTACTAGCCTCCCTCCAAATATGTCTGGCTAAAAAATGAATAGTTATAATTATATATGTGCTTATATATGCGGAGCTCTCTTTCCTTCCCCAATTAAAAAAAAAAAAAGCAGTGCTACCTTATTTACTTATAAGTTAGAAGCTCACTATGGATAGCAGGCTTGCCTTTAATTTGTGATCTTCTTGTCTCTGCTTCCTTAATGCTGGAATTATAGGCATGCATCACCATAGTAAAGGCACATTGTTTTTTCAATATTATCTTTGAGAAGTTTGTTATTTCTGAGCCCAGCAGATTTGAAATGGAGCCTAGATGCTATGCTAGAGGATAACAGATTGGGGGGGAAAGAATCTACAAAACAGACACCTTCCTTTCTTTCTTTCTTTCTTTCTTTCTTTCTTTCTTTCTTTCTTTCTTTCTTTCTTTCTTTCCTTCTTTCTTTCTTTCTTTCTTTCCTTCTTTCTTTCTTTCCTTCTTTGTTTCTTTCCTTCTTTCTTTCTCTCTCTCTCTCTCTCTCTCTCTCTCTCTTTCTTTCTTTCTTTTTTGTCACTTGTGGGGCTGGAACTCAGGGCCTGGCATCATTCCTGAGTTCTTCTGCTCAAGGCTAGCGCTCTACCATTTTGAGCCACTACACCACTTTAGGTGCTTAATTGGAGATAAGAGTCTCATGGGCTTTCCTGCCCTGGCTGGCTTTCAACCTTGATCCTCAGATCTCAGCCTCCTGAGTAGCTAGGATTACAGGTGAGCCACCTAGTGCCTGGCTCAACTTTTTTTTTAATCTTATGCTAGGGCCATTAGTACTGAGGAATAGAGGAATGTAGGGATATTCACCTTATAACTCAAGAGGGCCTCTCTGTGTTATTAATGGTACATTCACAGTGACATCTGTTATTAGTAAAACAAAAGTTAAATGGGTTGCTTCTTTGCTTGGTACTGAGATTTGAATCCATGGCTTCATACATGCTAAGCAAATGCGCTTCTGCTCAGCAGGATGCCTCACTAAGTAGCTCAGACTGACCTCAGACTTATCAATCCTTTTGTCTCAGCCTCCTAAGTGGCAAGATTATAGTGTGCACTACCATACCTAGCTCTATAGTATAATCTTATTTGTGAATAAATAAACTGGACTAAAATAGTATTAGATTGGATGTGCATATATATGTATGCAAGTACATAGAGACAATTGTGAAAGAAATTCCCAAGAAGCTATTAATTGTTGGAGGAGTGCTGAGAATAGATATGACTTCCCATACTGACCTACTTAGGTCATATTGATGTACTGGTAGTATATTATTCAGCTTTGTGTTACTACAATGAAATATCTGCAACAACTAACTTATAAACAGGTTTGTTTGGCTTCTAAAACCATGGCACTGCACGATTTTATAATCCCCTTGGAAGGCTCACCCCCAATGAGCTAGGACCCTAACTCTGCCCCATCTCCCAAGGGCTGGCCATCTTCCAGTGCACCATCCAGAGAACGAAGCCTTTAATACATGGGGCCACATTCAATACCCAGACCACAGCAGGCAAAGTTTCGTATTTAACTTTAAATTAGTAGAACATTATTTACTCAGATCTTCCAATATTTGGTCTACCTGGGATAAGCAGTGTAACTGGAGTTCAAACATCTAACTGAAGGGCTGGGAAGGTGGCTTGGTGGTAGAGTGCTTGCCTTGCTTGCATGAGGCCCTGGGTTCGATTCCTGAGCACCACATAAGCAGAAAAAGCCGGAAATGGTACTGTGGCTCAAGTGGTAAAGTGCTCGCCTTGAACTGAAGAGCTGAGGGACAGTGCCCAAGCCCAGAGTTCAGGCCCCACAACTGGCAAAAACAAAAACATCTAACTGAAGAAAAAAAAAGAGAGAATGACAAACATCATAATAAATGGAAAGTGGCTTTGAACTATAATTCTCAGATCTCAGCCTCCTAAGTAGCTAGGATTACAGGCATGAGCCACCAGTATTTGGCCATAAACTTTTTTTTTTTTAATGCAAAGGATGGTTTTCTAAATATTGCTAAGATATTGGAACACAGTCCCTTATCATCTGATTCTCTGTAATAATATTCTCAATCTTTCTGTTTATGTCTAGGCAATTACTTTACAAAAGAAGCCATCTATTCCCACAAAAGTTACGCATGTGATACCAAAAATACCGTCATGTTTGTAGCCCGAGTCCTGGCTGGAGAGTTCATCGAAGGAAATATGGCGTACACGAGCCCTCCTTCCATGTATGACAGCTGTGTGGATACACGGTTGAATCCTTCTGTCTATGTCATCTTCCAGAAAAGTCAGATTTACCCAGCATACGTGATTGAGTATGTGGAATCAGATAAAGCCTGTGTGATAAGTTAAGGAATGGCAAATATTAATGATACCTACCCATTTTATTTTCTTACAGGACCAAAGTGCCCCAGATAAATAGGGTAGATTTTGATATTTCCTTGCCAGGTGACCTAATGCCTTAAAATTAGTAGCTTCCAAGCTTTGCTGTACAAAATTTCCAATGCCTATCTTGGACCCCTCTCCCAATTAAGTCATTCCTTCTGAGGGTGATCATCATGCAGAGCTAAGCTGTTTTGGTTTTTTTTGTTGTTTTTTTTTTTGTTTTTGTCGGTCATAGGGCTTGAACTCTGGGCTTGGGCGCTGTCCTTGTGCTCTTCAGCTCAAGGCGAGCGCTCTATGGCTTGAGCCACAGCGCCACTTACAGTTTTCTAGTGCTTTATTGAAGATAAGAGTCTCATGGGCTTTCCTGCCCACGCTGGCTTTCAACCTTGATCCTCAGATCTCAGTCTTTTGAGTAGCTAGGATTACAGGCGTGAGCCACCAGCGCCCAGCTTCAGAGCTAGTTTTTAAAGAATTCCCCATAATTCCAATGTTTTGTTGGAGAATTTGCGTTGTCTTAGATGTAACTGGTCAAAGCTTAATTGCTAACTTCTCTGTCAATTACATCAACCTTTCTCATCTACTCTTTTAATTTACTGGATAGCATAAGGTGGTTTTGTTTGGATTTAATTGAAAGAAAATTATCTCTGTCGATGAGATGGAATTATACCCATTAAAATCAGGACTTAAGACATTGCATCTTGGGTAGAAGATTTGCAGAGACCAAAAATAACAACAACAAAATAGTTAAATTTAAGTATTACTGCAGACCTAAATAGAGTGCTGTGTCTTATGTAATGAGCTGATATGAAGCACACGTTTCTGTGTCTTTACATTTTGTTACAACGCAGAGACTCTAAGGGCTTGACGCAGATGCAGTTGTAAGAACAGAAACAACTGGAACGAACTGCCCGTTTGGGCTCTTGATGGAATTATGGCAAAGTAGCCATCTGTAGTGTGAATACAGAGAATGTTTTCTCAGGTCAAGATATCATGGAAATGTCTGTGTTTTAGGAGGACTAAGTTGCAGTAATGAGATTCATATAAGCCTGGTTGATAAACCCACATGTTGCCATCGTGGCTTGCTTTGGCGATTTTAACAAAGCTCACTAAGAAATGAGAAGGGCCGGCCTTGGACCCTGATTCAGGTATATACAGAAGCAGAACCGGAAATGATGTGTGAAGCATGCCTTGTCCCTGCTAGGGTCTTCTTTTTGTACTTCGGGCAAATTAAATAGCATTAGTCTTAGGAGCACATGGGTAGCTGGACCGATATCCTTTTGTATTATGACTCAAGTGTTTTTCTTCTTCAACAAGCTGTGCCAGTTGCCAAAATTGCCAGTTCTAGTTCCACTTGAGTTGATATTTCTGTTGGTCAAATTTTACATCAGTATCTAAAGTGTCAGAATTTCCTGGTTGAGGTGATCTCCTTTTATTTATCCTCCTCACCCCAGCTACACAGGTCCTTTAGGCCTAGTTCAGTGGTTCTCAATATCTCCTTTCTACCTTTTCTTCCCTTTAAATGATAAATCCTTCACAATGTCTGCTTTGTGATTTTCGCATGCAATTCAGAGATAAATATACTAACCACATGCCATTCTAGAAATAAATTAAAAATTCAATAAAACTAACAAAAACACAAAAGGGAAATAAAAGGCACATTAGCTTAGGTACAACTTCACAGTACTAGAAGATATAAAACGTCGATGCCTATGCCTACTTATAGTGAATAAATACGAACTCAGAGGTAGGAGCTCAAAAGTTATAGTGCACAGAGAACATGAAAACCCAACAACAAGAATGGACATTTAGGATAGAAAGCCATGAGGTAACTTGCTTGTAAATGATAGCACTGTGTATATGTGATAGGAACGAAATAACCTTTGAAATATTCTGTATAAGAGAATTTACAGATTGTCGACAGAAAATGAATCTACTATTGTCACAGACAAGCTGTGAGTCTTAATGAATGTCTAGAGAGACATTCAAAATTCGTATAGGGTGCAAAATGATTGCTGACTGTGAGAACTGTCCAGTGTATTGCTTGATCTTCGGCATACTTGATTCTCACGTGCTAAATGCCAATTGCACCTGGTACCCTGAAACCTTTCTCTAAGAAGACCACCATAAACCCCAAGACCTGCTTGCCCTTTGCAAAATAGCTGTTTTGCAATATCTCTTGCTATACTGAGATGATTCCTAGGTATCACATGAATATCTTTTTTAAAAAAGTCAATCGAGGGGCTGGGAAGGTGGCTCAGTGGTAGGGCGCCTGCCTTGCATGCATGAGGCCCTGGGTTCAATTCCTCAGCACCACATAAACAGAAAAAGCCAGAAGTGGCGCTGTGGCTCAAGTGGTAGAGTGCTGGCCTTGAGCTGAAGAGCTGAGGGACAGTGCCTACACCCAGAATTCAGGCTTCACAACCGTCCCCTCCCCCCCAAAAAATCAATTGAGTGTTCTATTATAATGGAAACATGGAAATTAAAAAATTTATAATAAAGCTGAGTGCATTCCTAGCTTCTCGAGGTAACTTCTCTGAGGATTCCAGTTTGAAGGCAGCTCAGACACACAAATTAAAGATACTCTTATCTCCGGTTAACCAGCAAAAAGCTAGTAGTGGAGTTGTGGCTTAAGTAGTAAAGCACCGGCTTTGAGTGAAAAAGCCAAATGAGAGTGTGAGACCCTGAGTTCCGATACACACACACACACACACACACACACACACACAGAAATTTGTAATGAAATATGTTAAATGCTCAGGCATGACTACGTTTTACGCCATGAGACAGACATTTACTCTTACTCTGAATGGGTGTTTGGCTTAAAGCATCCAGGAAAATGAAAGATTAGAGATACAGGTAACACTAGAATGAAAACCAGTAATTAGTGAAAATCGTAACACACCATATAATCTGTCTATGGTAAAGGAAAATCTGAAGTTCCCGTACCTGAAGCAAGGTTAACATAATGTAGCACAGGACACATTTCTGATTGTCTCAGAGAAAAATGCTTTGTAATCTCTCAGACAAGCACTAGGTCCTACGTAAATGTCCAGCAGGACATTAGACAGACGTGCAGAAGCAGAACAATTCTTCCTCCTGTGGAACATCTGTTGTGCATCTGGCAGCATCTACTCAGTGTCCACGCCGCCCTCAGCTACCATGAAACCAACAAGCCATCTCCTTTCTGGTATACTACAGTGACCACTGAAATATGGATACTGGGTCTAAGTATTGCCATCTTGTCTTCACCGCCATCTTGGCATCTTAATCGATAATGGAAACTTTTCACCCAGTTCTGAACACTCTCTGGCGGGGATATGGGTCATTCTTTAAACAGCAGCTGTGTTATGGGTTGTGCAGCTCCAGGAAAGTCTTGCTCTTCCTAGCTTGTTTTGCTTCTGTGAATACTTTTGCTAGGTTAAGTTCCTCATACCGATTCTGTGGTTTTTTGAATGAACTGCATTCACATGCTTTTGAGGCATGAGTCTGCTCACAGTTGCCGGCTTTATAATAAAGAGTTCAGATTCAACCTCTCAGAGTGTGGCTTCTCTGTATTGTGCAATGGAATTCCTGTATAACAGAACCAACTGACCCAGTTCACATCCAGCACCCTTAATTTAGCTCAACTGTCCATTTGATTAGATCCTTTCCAATCTTCCAAACCTCTGGTTTTGAAAATACTTTTGTGCCAGGCACTGGTGGCTCATGCCTCTAATCCTAGCTACTCAGGAGGCTGAGATCTGAGGATCACTGTTTAAAGCCAGCCCAGGCAGGAGACTTACCTCCAATTAACCACCAGAAAATCCAAAGTGGTGCTCTGGCATAAGTGATTAGCGTGCTTGCATTGAGCTGAAGAGCTTAGCACCCAGGCCCGGAGTTCAAGCCCCATGACCGACAAAACAATAACAAGACACTTGTGAGCCAGGTGCCAGTGACTTATGCCTATGTAATCCCAACCACTCAGGAGGCTGAGATCTCAGGATCAAGGTTCGAATCCAGCCTGGGCAGGAAAGTCTGTGAGACTCTTATTCCCAATTAAATCACAGAAAATGCCAGAAGTGGCGCTGTGGCTCAAGTGGTAGAGCATAGTGCCCAGGCCCAGAGTTCAAGCCTCAGGACCAGCAAAAAAAGAAAAACAAACTCTTGTGCCTTCATTTGTCCAGCATAAAATGATCTTTTTGTACTAGTCAGTTGGTTTTGCTTGATTCACTGATAATGTTGAATTCTGTTGAATATGCTCAATTTTTTATGTTTCAGTTGCGTTTCATTGCCGCTTCTGTTTGCTTAATTTGAGAAATTACATAATAAAAAGAAAATAATGGATTCAGTTTTGCTGCCTTTATTTGCTCTGCTTGTAGGTATCTCTAACGGCAGAGACTGGTTTATTCAAAAGGAGATGATGTGATTTTCCTCCTCTGGCTTCCATATTCCTGGCACACTGCCAGGGCAAGGCCGGGCTGGTGGTGCCTGGAGAGACCCACAGGGGGTGGGCGCATCTCTGGTTATGGACTTAGGAAGAGAAAGGTTGGGAGCCAGTAGCATACCTTCGGGCCCCAGGGGTGCCTGCAGGGTAAGACTGAGGCACACAAATTTGAAGTAAATATTGGCCAAAAAAAATGTGTGTGTGTGTGTTGTTACTGGGTACTGTCCCTTTGATTTTTCTTTCCAGGCTGGCACTGTATTATTGAGCCAAGCTCCATTTGCGGTTTTGCTAGTTAGAGATAAGATTCTCAAGGACGCTGGGCACTGGTGGCTCACGCCTGTAATCCTAGCTACTCAGGAGGCTGAGATCTAAGGATCGCGGTTGAAAGCCAGCCCGGGCAGGAGAGACCGTGAGACTCCTATCTCCAATAAACCACCAGAAAACCGGAAGTGGCGCTGTAGCTCAAGTGGTAGAGCGCTCGCCTTGAGCTGAAGAGCTGAGGGACAGCGCCCAGGCCCAGAGTTCAAGCCTCATGACCGACAAAAAAAAAAAAAGATTCTCAAGGAAACATTGATTGTCAGACATCAACCTCCTGAATAGCTAGGATGACTGGTGTGAGCCACAGGTACCACCCGGTCATCTGCTTCTTTCATTGTTGTTGTTGTTTTTTCCAGTCCTGGAGCATGAACTCGGGGCCTGAGCACTATACTGAGCTTCTTTTGCTAAAGGCTAGTACTCTACCACTTGAGCCACAGCACTACTTCTGGCTTTTTCTGTTGATGTACTGAGGAATCGAACCCAGGGCTCATGCATGCTAGGCAAGCATTCTACCACTAAGCCACCTTCCCAGCCCCTTAATAGTGTTCTTCACACTTAGCTTTCACAGCTTCTGTTGCCTAACACTCAAGTGTCCCTCAAAAGTATATCCATTCCTTCACCTGGGGGAATGAATCCAGGGCATGCTATGACTGAGCCTGTTTGTATTTTTTTTTTCTTTTTGAGATAGGGTTGAGGAAAGATAGAGAAAATGAGGCCTTGGAATCAGCCGTGAGAAATTTAGAGACGAACACTGTTGGTCAAGAGCTTGATTAAAAAACAAAAACAGAAACACTACTTTTGCGATATGCCTTGTGTTCCCTCATAAACAGCAACGTTCAGTTAAAAGAAAAAAGAAGAAAAGAAAAGGAACCAGAACAGCTGTCTCCCTCTGCCCTGGCCTACATGTCCAGCTGATTAGCATGCTCCAAGACTGAGTCTTAGTCTCTTATTCTGGGAAAATGACTCCTTTGGGCACAGTAAAGTATTTGCTAAGAAAAATATTTATCTTCAGGATAGACACCTGTCTTTAAAGGAGTGTATGAAGAACCTACCCTTTATCTGAAAGAAGTCCAGACATCAGTGATTCAAGTTTTTTTTTTTGTTGTTGTTTTTTTTCAACTCAAGTACAACAGAGACCAAGTGCAACAGGCTAACCTTGAAGTCTCTTGACCCAAATGATAAATACTGTAACATCAAGCAGGAGAAAATGTTACCCGGTGTTAGAACAAAAGGGAACTTGTGCTCCTGGGGTAGATAGGAGCCAAATCCCAATTCTACTTTCTTTTAGCTATAAATACCTCTGATGTCAAAGCAGCTGGGGGTGTCTCCTGTGAGCACCCCCCGCTCTACCTGTTAGAGGGTACCTCTTTCTGCTTGCTCAAAAAGTTCTGCCAAGTTTTCTTACCATTGAGACTTGTCCCAGGATAAAGGCCCTGAATGGAGGGGTGCAGGAGGGAGGGGAGAGTCATTTGTGGGGTTTGAACTCAGGGCCTGGTTGCTGTCTCTGATCTCTTGCTCAAGGATAACACTCTACCACTCTGAGCCACAGCTCCTCTGTTTGTTTTTTTTGTTTATGTGTTTGTTTTTGAGTAGTTAATTGGAGATGAGTTGCAAGAGGACTTTCCCACCTGGGCTGGCTTCCAACTGGGATCCTCAGATCTCAGCCTCCTGAGTAGCTAGGATTACAGGCATGAGCCACAGGTGTCCTCTGCCAGGTGCTGGGCCCCCTCCCTCTCCCTCTCTTCTTTTTTAAAGGAATCTTCACAAACCCCCATTTGCCACCAGTGACAGGGTCATACCAAGATCCAAGCTGGTCTCAAGCTTGAGGTCCTTCTGCCTCTGTATCCTGAGTAGCTTTGTATCTCCACTAAAGCCTAGACCTTATATGAAAGGCAACTGCATATGAGCCCTCTATTAGACTGTCCACTGCAAGTGCAATAAAATAGAGGCTTATAGCTCCTCAAGCCTGCTTTTTTCCCCACTACTTGTCTTGCTTTCTAGAAATCCATTCCTCTCATTACTGCCAGCTATTCTAAAATAGCTGTTATGGGTTAGGATGTAGGTCAGTGTACAGTGTTTGACTAGCAAAATGTGTCTCTCTCCCTGTCTCTCTCTGTCTCTGTCTCTCTGTCTCTCTGTCTCTCTCTCTCTCTCTCTCACACACACACACACACACACACACACACTGTCCTACGAAATGTCTGGACACAGGTGATGATGATATACAGTAATGAGTTAGATTACAAAGGTCTTGTTGCTGGGTGCCCGTGGCTCACCTCTATAACCCTAGCTACTCAAGGGGCTGAAATCTGAGGATCACGGTTCGAAGACAGCCCGGTCAGGAAACTCCGATTAACCACCAAAATGCTGGAAGTGGAGCTGAGACTCAAGTGGTAGAGGTCAAGGACAATGGCCTACGCCTTGACTTCAAGCCTAGGACACACACACACACACACACACACACAGAGCTCAGTGCCGCAGGATCACTTTTCCAGCATGATCAGCGGCCACCGTGACGTCAGACACGACCCCCCCCACACCCCTCCCCAGCTCCCCAGCTCACTGGTCCCGCCTCAGAAACCCTCCGAGTCCGGGGCCCCCGAGGCCCCGCCCCGGCTGGAGGGCGGCCGTGCCGGGGAGGAGTCTCGGGGCCGGGGCCATGGCGGACCCCACGGTGTGCTCGTTCCTCAGCAAGGTGCTGTGCGCGCACGGCGGCCGCATGCTCCTGCGGGACCTGCGCGGCCACGTGGAGCTGTCGGAGGCCCAGCTGCGGGCGGTGCTGCTGCGGGCCGGGCCCGAGCGCTTCCTGCTGCAGGCGGTGGAGGCCCGGGAGGGCCGCTGGGACGCGGAGGCCGAGGCGGCGGCGGGCGGCGCGGCGGGCGGCGCGGAGGCCGCGGCGGAGGCCTGCCGGGTGGTGGCCGTGACCTCCGCGCGCCTCTGCGCCCGCTACCAGCGCGGCGAGTGCTCGGCCTGCGACCAGCTGCACCTCTGCCGCCGCCACATGCTGGGCCGCTGCCCGCACCGCGACTGCTGGTGAGGGGCGCGGGCGGGGGGACCCCGGGCCGCCCTGAGGCGGGGTGCCGGGCGGGCGCGGTCCGGCTGGACCAGGGCGCGCGTGAGCTGTGCGCGCGCGTGCTGTGTGTGTATACGTGTGTGTGCGTGTACTGGCCCTGGGGCTTGAACTCGGGGCCTTGCGCTTTGTTTTACCTTTTAAAATGTGTTAGTGTGCAGGTAATTACGGAAGGGCACATGACATGTCAGGTAAGGGGGACATTTCTCTGGGGACCCTGTCACCCCTTCCCTGGCTCTCCCCCAGTTCTCCCCTCCCGGCCCCACCCACAAGTGGCAGCGTTCATTTCCCACCTCGGGTCCAGTTTCCTGGGCCTCCCCAACCCTCCCAAAGACAGAGAAAGGAACGCACGGACTGACAAGAAAAGAAGGTGGAAACAGCATCAAAGGAAAAACCCCGTCCGTGTCCATCTCCTGGAGCCGCTTTTCTTTTGAATAGTCCACTTCTTTGTTCATTTCTTGCACCTGAAGTTCTCTTTCAGGACATCCTTGGCCCAAGACTCTGTGCCGCAGGCCTTCAAAAAAGTTCTAACATTGGCATTTCAATTCTTCGCATCTTTTGTGGTAGTGAGTGTAAGGTCCATTCCTGGATACGAACAGTACTTGCGTTACCTGGGCAACTGGGACACCTGGAAGAGGTCACATCTGCATCCGCTGTGGTCACATCTTAATCTGATGTAGTCACACCTTTCTCCCACCTGATCCCACCTCTTACCTGGTCCCACTTTCCTTTACCTGGACACACCTTCCCCCCCCCCCCCCCCCCCATATAAGGCCTAACCTGGGCTAGATGCTCTCTTTTGCCAGCCACGTGGAGTGCCAACCTTGCCTGGTCCCAACAGGTCTACTGAATAAACCTACCCCTTACCTGAATACCACAAGCGTGGTGCAGTTCTTACTCGGCCACCTCTTTTTAAAAACCTAACAGTAAGGTCTTGCAAAAATGCTTCCCCCTATTAAAACTAGTTGTAGCCATTCTCAGGGCCCTGAACAACTCTGATTGTCCTTTAGGCTCTTATCATATAGCACAAATATTGTCGGCCTTATCTAAATCTCTGCTTAAACACGTTTAGGTAAGCAGACTCCCTGGCTGGCTGGCCTTGTGCTTTTGCTTAGCTTTATTTCACTCGAGGTTGGTGTTCTACCACTTGAGCCACACTTCCATTTCTGACTTTTTGCCGGTTAATCGGAGATAAGAGTCTCCTGGGAGTTTCTGTGCGGCTGTCTTCAGACTGAGATCATCTGATCTCATCATCCCCAGTGACTAGGATTCCAGGCATGAGCCAGGATATCTGGCCTACTCAGTATTTTGATTTTTATTCTCGGTACTTGAGAAATTGACTTCACCTGTAAGCCGGAAGCTGCCCTGGAAAGGGACCCGCACCCACCTCCCCTTGCTCACCTTAGCGTCTGACCACGGCTGTTGTATTCTCCTAGGTCCATCTGTGCCCTTTCCCATGACATCCACAGCCCAGTCAACACCCAAGTCCTGAAAAGCCACGGGCTCTTTGGTCTCAATGAAGCCCAGCTTCGCATCCTGCTTTTGCAGAATGACCCGTGCCTTTTGCCAGAGGTGAGTCACCGCTGACCCTCATTGCTGTATCCTTACAGGGGTTTCCTCTGGCTTTTTGGTTTTAGATCTGAGTTCTGATTGCTTCGAAGCTCTAGGAGTTGGGGTCATTTTTGTGTATCTGTGTTACTTGGATGGGCCTAGGAAGATAGAGCCCCACCCTAGGAAGGTGCTCTGTCTTAATCCACGTCCCCCATCTTTTTGCTTTAGTTATTTTTGAATGAGATCTCCCATGTATACCAGCATAGATGAAGTCCTTCTCTTCATGCTTCCCGTGTTGGAGGGATGCTAGGCATTTGATGCCACCGCATACTGGTTGAGATAAGGTTTCATGAACTTTTTGTCCAGGCTAGTCTCAAACCTCAAACCTCCCAAATCTCTGCCTCTCTAGTAGCTGGGATTACAGAAGTGAGCCAATTCCATTATAACTGCTTAGTTTCTGAGTCTCAAGATGTACCCATTACAGTTGCTATTATAGCAATTAGCATGCTTGTTTCTGTTTAGCCATATAAAGAAATTTTTTTTGGGGGGGGTCGGGTCGTTGGTCCTGAACTCTGGGCCTGGGCGCTGTCCCTCAGCTCTTCAGCTCAAGGCAAGCACTCTACCACTCGAGCCACAGTGCCACTTCCGGCCTTTTTCTTTTTGCTTATGTGGTGCTGAGGAATCAAACCCAGGGCCTCATGCATGCAAGGCAAGTGCTCTACCACTGAGCCACCTTCTCAGCCCTGGCCATATAAAGAATTTTTTAAAAAATGGAACTCCCAAGAGAGTATATTATGGGACTAATTTTCTGAACTGGTGGTGCATACCTGTAATCCTAGCTTTTGGGAGACAGAGGCAGGAGAAATGTGAGTTTATGACCAGCGTGTGCTATGTAGTGAGATCCTACAATAAAAGAAAAGCAAAACAATCAAACCGGACCAAAAATAAAACAGTAGGATTTTCTAATCTAGCATGGGGATTCTATCATAGACATTCGCAGTCTATAGACTCCTGAATACTACCCATCATCATGCGGTCCTGCTTTAACTCCAGAGGCAGCAAAGGCACACACTGTGAGCCAGGAGTCTGGTGCAGGGGGCAGAGGCCGCCATCGCAGCAGAATCTGCACGCAAAGTGTGTCTGAGGAGCCAGAGGTTTCTTCTTGGCCATCTCCTTTTAACTTCCTTCAGGCTTTGAAGCCCGGCATGAGCCATAAGCAACCTGCTTGAGATAAGGTCTTGATCAAGCCTGGGCTGGCCTTCATCTTGGAATCTTCCTCAGCCAGCCTCTAGAGTAGCAGAAATGACAGGCCTGTGCCACCATACCTGTCAACACATCAATGCTTATCTTTTTTTTTTTCTGGCTGGTTTTGTGTTTGGGGGGGAGTGATAAGGGGCTGTGTGATCTACGCTAAGCAGTGGCCTAGGGCACAATATGGTATTATCAACTGTATTCATCACACTGTACGTGAAGCCTCCAGAATCATTCATTCTAACAGAAACTTTGTACCCTCTAACCTACTGTCTCTATGCTCCCAAGTTTGTTTGTTTGTTTGTTTTGTTTTTTGTTTTTTTTTTTGGCCAGTCCTAGGGCCTGAACTCTGGGCCTGGGCGCTGTCCCTCAGCTCTTCAGCTCAAGGCCAGTACTCTACCACTTGGGCCACAGCGCCACTTCCGGCTTTTTTTCTTTTTGCTTACGTGGTGCTGAGGAATCGAACCCAGGGCCTCAGGCATGCAAGGCAAGCCCTCTACCACTGAGCCACCTCCCCGGCCCCCTTGAGCTCCTTTTTGCCCAAGGTGCTCTACCACTTGAGCCACAGCGCCACTTCTGGCTTTTTCTGTTGATGTGGTACTGAGGAATCCAGCCCAGGGTTTCATGCATGCTAGGCAAGCACTCTACACTGAGCCACATTCCCAGCCCTAGTTCATATTTTAATAGACAATAGAAATCGCTTTGCTTACTATTCTTCTTTTTCCATTCTTTTTGTTTGTTTAATCAGTTCTTGTTTCCTTTTGCAGACTAGATTTATTTTTTTTGTTTTTGTTTTTTTTGGGGGTCCGGTCATGGGGCCTGAACTCTAGGCCTGAGTACTGTCCCTCAGCTCTTCAGCTCAAGGCTAGCGCTCTACCACTTGAGCCACAGCACCACTTCCGGCTTTTTTCTTTTTGCTTATGTGGTGCTGAGGAATCGAACCCAGGGCCTCAGGCATGCAAGGCAAGCGCTCTACCACTGAGCCACTTCCCAGCCCCTGCAGACTAGATTTAGAATTAGTTAAATTTCTAAAGCTACATTATAGAAACTTGGCAGGTTGAATTGCATTACAATTATGTGTTTGTTTTAAAAATTTCATGCCACCATTATAGATAAGATGTTTTATTTTGAAGTAGGTTATGTGTTCTGTGTAATTTTCCATATTTCAAGTTAAGCAATTACATTCCTGTTTTGTCATTTACCATGTTCCTCTATCTTAATATTCTAAAGGTTTGTTAGGTTTGGCTCAAGCCTGCTACTGTGGCTTGAACTCAAGGCCATGTGTCTCTCTTAGATTTTTTGCTCAAGCTGGTATGGAAACACTTGATTCGGAAGTACTCTTTTTTTTTTTTTGGGTCCGGTGGTGGGGCCTGAACTCTGGACCTGGGCACTGTCCCTTAGCTCTTCAGCTCAAGGCTAGCGCTCTACCACTTGAGCCACAGCGCCACTTCCGGCTTTTTGCTTATGTGGTACTGAGGAATCGAACCCAGGGCCTCAGGCATGCAAGGCAAGCGCTCTACCACTGAGCCACCTTCCCAACCCCGGAAGTACTCTTAATACTGCCACTTCTGTCTTTTTGCTAGCTAATTGGAGATAAGAGTCTCTTGCATTTATCTGTTCAGGGTGGCTTTGAAACTGTCTTCAGATCTCAGCTTCCTAAGTTACTAGCATTACAGGTGTGAGCCTATAATCTTAATTAATATTACCATTAGTATTAAAAGCAAGAATTGAAAGAAGATGATTTAAGCTGGGTGCTGGTGGCTCACAGCTGTAATCCTAGCTACTCAGGAGGCTGAGACCTGAGGATCGAGGTTCAAAGCCAAGATGGGCCGGAAAAGTCCGTGAGACTCTTATCTCCAGTAAACCACAGAAAACCGGAAATGGCTGTGGCTGTGTGGCTCAGGTGGTAGAGTGCTAGCCTTGAGCTAAAGAGCTGAGGGACAGCGCCCAGGCCCAGAGTTCAAGCCCCAAGATCAACAACAACGAAGATGATGTAATCCCCAGTGGTTTAGGGCTTAAAAGATACAGAGCTCATGCCTATAATTCTAGCTATTAGGGAGGCTGAGATCCGAGGATTGTGCTTCAAAACCAGCCCAGTCAAGAAAATTTGTGAGACTTTTATCTCCAATTAACCACCAAAAATCTGGAAGTGAAGCTGTGGCTCAAGTGCTAACCTTGAGTGAAAAAGCTCAGAGACAGCACCCAGACCCTGAGTTCAAGCCTCAGAACCAGCACCAAAAAATGAATAAATACATAAATAAAGTGATAGCAAGCAAGGAACGTGATCGAGAGCATGAGGTACCAAGTTCAAGTCCTGTGCCCCCATAAAAAAAATCAAAATAAAAGAAGACACAGTGAACTCTCACACTTGATGTGTTCCCTTATTTCTGCTCCAGGTCTGTTTGCTGTACAACAAAGGCGGCCACCCCCCCTACGGGTACTGCAACCTCAAGGAGAAATGCACCAAGTTCCATGTGTGTAAGAACTTTGTGCGTGGAGAGTGCACACTTCACACCTGCAAACGGTCCCATCAGCTCATCCACGCCGCCTCCCTCAAGTGGCTGGAGGGCCAGGAACTAAGTGTTTCAAGTGTTGTGAATTTTCAGATCATCTCTGCATACAAGCATATGAAGTTGCACCAGATGCTTGAAAATAAAGGTAGGCGTCTCCGAAATGGCTGAGAACCATAGGCAATCAGGTGCTTCGGAGATTCTTCACTGTGAAGAGGAAGGAGATTCACTTGAGAGCCGGATGCTGGTGGTAGTGCATACATGTAATCTTAACTAATTTTAACTGAGATCTGAGAATCCTGGCTTGAAGCCAGCCCAGGCAGACAAATCTGACAGACAATCACCAGTTAACCAGCAAAAAGCTGGAAGTGGGGGTATGGCTCAAGTAGAAGAGCTCCAGCCATGAGTGAGAAAGCCAAGCAAGAGTGCGAGGCTGTGAGTTCAAGCCCTAGTACTAACACACACACACACACACACACACACACACACACACACACACACACACACACACACACACACACACACACTTGAGAGTGAGTCTGGGGATGAAATACTTTGTATGTTCATTGCAATTTCATCCTTGGAAAGCTTAAGACAGTTGACCTTTTGGAATGGAGCCTTGTAGTTCTAACCAAAAAAGAGAAGACTGCCAATTCATAGAATGTGCCCAAGGATTTGAACAGAGTAGCACCTAGGTAAATTGAGGGAAAGCTCAGGAAGTGGAGCAGCCTTAACAGCTTGGCTGAGAACAGAGGAAGGAGATGGTTCAATAACTATGTTGGAAACTCACGACCCTCCACTGTCAGAAAATGAATAGAGGGGTTGGGAATGTGGCTTAGTGGTAGAGTGCTTGCCTAGCTCGGTTTTTATCCCAATCCACGCTATCCCTCTTCCTTGTCTGGGAGTCAGACTCCCGTGAGTCACAATTGGTTATCAAGTGTAATGGGATAATACAAGGAAGTTTGAAAGTACTTCAAGCATTAGTGAAGAAGTTCTCACTCAAGGTGGGGTGGAGAGGCTCTATTCTTTAACATGGCTGGCTGGTCACAAACAACATAGCAAGTGGTTATCGTTTCAAGACAAGAAGCAAATAATTCTAGGAAATACTGGTACTGAACTGTGACTGGTTACAAGATGGGAGACATTTGGTTTGACAGAAATGATCACTTTTTCTCCCGTAACTAGAAAGTTAAATATTATTTGAGATGGCTTTCTTTATTACATTGCATGATACTTACTTTATTTTATTTTACTTTTGTTGGCTATGGGTCTTGAGCTCAGGATCCGGTGCTGTCTCTGAGCTTTTTCACTGAAGGCTAGCATTAACCACCATTACCTGCCTATTATTATATTTTTGTTGTTGTTGTTTTTGGTCGTGGGGCTTGAACTGGACATGGTGCTGTCCCTCAGCTCTTCAGCTCAAGGCTAGCGCTCTACCACTTGAGCCACAGCGCCACTTCCTGTGTTCTGGGTGGTTTATTGGAGATAAGAGTCTCATGGACTTTCCTGGCCACCTGGCTTTGAACTGCGATCCTCAGATTTCAGCCTCTTGAGTACTAGGATTACAGGTGTGAGCCACCAGAGCCTGGCTTTATTATACTTTTAATATATCAATCATATATTTGAATGCAGACAAAACTCTTTAAACTCATGTATCAGGAGTCTTGTCTGAGGCCTGGGTAGCTGGGGAGATGCTCCCAATATAAAGTGGAATTTTGACAGTGAAGCTCATCTCTTTATTTTTCCTTTTAGATAACTCAGCTTCTTCTACTGAGCATTCACAGGGCCTTGAGAAACAAGGCGCGCACAAGGCTGGGACAGCAGAAGCCAGGCCTCTTGTCCCCGTCGCTGCTCTGTCAGCCAGCAAGCCCTGTCCAGCTAAACCTTAAAGAGCATTGGAGAAGTGAGAAGTTTGACCATCTTGGAAGATTCAAAAGCACAGCTTTGCTGAGCTTTTGTTTGTGACAGTTCGTTCATGCTATTATTTATGAGCCGTATTCATGATGATACCTACCTCACAGATTGTGTCAATTAAAGATGGAAAAGGAAAAAATGTCAACTTAGGAGGAAAGCGTTGCAGATGGGATTGGACATGAAACAAGCAGGAGAGAGTGAAGTCTGAGTCTAGGGCTGGGAATGTGGTTCAGTGGTAGAGCACTTGCCTCGCATGCATGAAGCCCTGGGTTCCATTCCTCAGCACCACATCAACAGAAAAAGCCAGAAGTGGAGCCGGGCACCGGTAGCTCATACCTGTAATCCTAGCTACTCAGGAGGCTGAGACCTGAGGATCACGGTTCAAAGCCAGCTGGGGCAGGAAAGTCCATGAGACTCTTATCTCCAGTAAACCACTAGAAAACCAGAAGTGGCGCTGTGACTCAAGCCCGTAGGGCATTCTCCTTGAGCTGAAGAGCGCAGGGACAGCTCCCAAGCCCAGAGTTCAGGCCCCATGACTGACAAAAAAAAAAAAAAGAGAGAGAGAAAGCCAGAAGTGGAACTGTGGCTCAAGTGGTAGAGTGCTAGCCTTAAGCAAAAGAAGCTCAAGGACAGTGCCCAGGCCCTGAGTTCAAGTCCCCAAATGATAAAAACGAGAAACAAACAAAAAAACTCTTGAGTCTGGAGGAGATGAATCTAGTACAGTACTCACTGGCAGTTTCCATTGTGAGCATCAGAGCTTGTACATTTCCTACACAATTTTTATTTAGCTGCTTCATAAGCATCTATCATACATAATCATTTTTTGCACCTCTTAAAAAATATATCATAGTTGAACTACCTCTCTTACCCTGGAAGATTTCAGTTCTTCTGAACAAATCCTTGAATATCTCTTTTTGTAAAATCTACACAGTACTGAATTGCAAAAGTCATTTTTTTTACTCTTGCTTAACTTACAGATGCTAAATAATATTGTCTTTTAACTTGCATTTCTTTAAATATATGTGCAAGTGATTAGATCTCTGTGTAACTACTTCCTGATTGTTTTGATTTTTAAAGTTTCTTTTGTGCCGGTCCTGAGGCTTGAACTTAGGGCCTGGGTGTATCCCTGATTTTTTTTCTCCCCACAAAGCTAGTGAGCATTCTATCACTTGACCCATACACCGCTGCACTTCCAGATTTTTTTGTTTCATTGGAGATAAGAATCTCATAAACTTTCCTGCCCATGCTGGCTTACAATTGTCCTCAAATCTCAGTCTCCTGAGTAGTTAGGATTACAGGCATGAGCCACTAGCGCCCTGCCCAGTAAGACCTTTTTTTTTTTAGTTAACTGCCCTGCAAAAACATATATTTGAGAAATAGGGACAATGTAATAAGTTTTCATCAAGCCAGATTTATTTAAATTACAGAAAATTTCCTTATGAACCATATAGGCTGAAATGTCCTTTTCAAAGTGAGAAATTACTATATTTTTTTCTTCAGGCAGTGAGTCATGAATCATATAGTAATTTTTTTTTAACTTTAGTTGTCAACAACTGTTTTCTTTTTCTTTTTTGGGGGTCTGGTCGTGGGGCCTGAACTCTGGGCCTGGCGCTGTCCCTCAGCTCTTCAGCTCAAGGCTAGAGCTCTACCACTTGAGCCACAGCACCACTTTCGGCTTTTTTCTTTTTGCTTATGTGGTGCTGAGGAATCGAACCCAAGGCCTCAGGCATGCAAGGCAAGCGCTCTACCACTGAGCCACCTTCCCAGCCCTTCTTTTTTTTTTTTTTGTCAGTTGTGGGGCTTGTACTCAGAACCTGGGTGCTGTCCCTAAGCTCTTCAGTTCAAGGAGAGAGCTCTACCACTTGAACCACAGCACCACTTCTGGTTTTCTGGTGGTTTATTGGAGATAAGAATCTCATGGACTTCCTGAATCATGATCCTCAGATCTCAGCCTCCTGAGTAGCTAGGATTACAGGCCTGAGCCACAGGCACCAGGCTTCAACAAGTTTGAATGATGTTTTCTATATTTTGTTTTGAGAGTTGTTCCCTCAATCTCAATTTTATAGGTGCTGATTTATCTTCCTTCCTTCCTTCCTTCCTTCCTTCCTTCCTTCCTTCCTTCTTTCTTTCTTTCTTTCTTTCTACTGGGGATCAAACCCAGGCTTTATGTATGCTGGACACAGTGCTCTACCATTAAGCTGTACCCAGCCTTGGTGCTAACTTCTTTAAAAAATATATCTTTACTTATTATTATTATTATTTACTCTTTATCATTTTATCATATGTATTTTTGTTGCAACCCTTATGTAACAGTATATAAAAGTATACTTAACATTAAAAGGCTTAGTAGACTTTTACATTATGTGTTCTTATATATCTTAGAGTTGTGCTCTTATATATGTTATATGTGAAGTTTTTGGCTCACTATAATCTTTGTTGGAATTTATTCAGTTCTATAATATTCCACTTTAAGGAGAGTTCTGTTGCTATTTATTCTGTAAAATGATCTCATCTAATTGTTACTAGCAAAGGTCTGGCCGCTTACCCAATGATGTCTGTAGTCTAGGGGTTGAGGCAAAGAAGTTTTGTTTTGTTTTTTTGCTTGTTTGTTTTTGGTGCTGGTCTGGAGGGTTGAACTCAGGGCCTAGGTGCTGATATAATTCAGTGGTTTTCAAGTTAGGTGTTTGGGATTTTTTTTTCTTTTATACAAAATTCTAGGTAGCCCCACTTTAATTGTTAATGTAATTGGATTACGTGGATTTCATTGATCTCCTTATTTCTTTCCTCTTCCTGCCTTGCATCCAGCTGTCTTCTTGTTCTTCAGAAAATAAATGTAATCACATGGCTTTTCTTCCTAGTAAAATCTTAATAGATGTCCATGCCAGAGGGCAAGAGTCATTGCTTAAATCCTACGCGGACCAGGAGTATGAGTTAGAACGATGAAGTAGACCAGAAATGGGGACAAGGCATTAGTACTCTGGCCAGTTGTCTAGCTTAAAGTGGCAGCTGCCCCTGGATGCCATCTGGAGTGTGCTTTCTGTTTCTTGTCTCATTTTTCTGAAGAAGCTGCAAGTCCAGAACTTTGTCAGAAACTTTCTGATGTTTAATATTGACTTTTAATTGAGGTTTTTTGGTTTTATTTTGTTGTTTTCTTTGTTTTTGTTGGTTGTGGGGAACTCTGGGCCTGGGCTCTGTCCCTCAGCTCTTCAGCTCTCTACCACTTGAGCCACAGCGCCACTTCCAATTTTCTGGTGGTTTATTGGAGTTAATAGTCTCAAGGACTTTCCTGCCCAGGCTGGCTTTGAACTGTGATCTCTGATCTCAGATCTGAGATCTCAGCCTCCTGAGTAGCTAGGATTACAGGAGTGAGTCACTGGCACCGGGCTTGAATTGAGTTTTTAAACTCAATTCAAAAAGCAATTCTGTTTGTACTATCCACCTGCAGTTTGAGGAATGTGCTATTTTGTCTTGTGACTATGTTTCATTACAACATCTCTCTGCCTGCCTCAAAAGCAAAATTACAGTCTTTAAAATAATAATTAACCTTTCCTGACCCCTAGAGATGGTTCTTGGAGAATTCTTGGAGCACCAGCATCAGACTTACCATGTTACATTCCAATTCTTTGCCTCTGAGTGAGAGCATGTATTATTCATGTAATTCTCATACTTGGAGGTTAAAACTTTAAAAAAAATTAAAAATATATACTGAATTAAACTCTGAATTTGAATCTGTTTGGATCAGTATCATATTGGTTTTCCATTCCCTTTTTTCTTTTCTTTTCTTTTTTTCAATCAGTTGTGGTAGGCGCTGTCCATCAGCTCTTCAGCTCAAGGCGAGCATTCTACCACTTGAGTCACAGCACCACTTCCAGTTTTCTGGTAGTTAATTGGAAATAAGAGTCTCATGGACTTTCCTTGCCCAGTCTGGCTTTGAACCATGATCCTCAGATCTCAGTCTCCTGAGTAGCTAGGACAGGTGTGAGCCACTGGCACCCAGCTTCCTACTTATTTTTTTTAATATTCCATTTTTTTCTCCTATTGATGGTATACATATTTTAAAAGTGCTTTAGGTGAATTATCTAGATCTAAAATGAACTCTTTAAGGGTTGTAGATACTAATTCTTTTCTTTTCTTTTTTTTCTGGGGTCCGGTTGTGGGGCCTGAACTCTGGGCCTGGGCGCTGTCCTTCAGCTCTTCAGCTCAAGGTTAGCACTCTACCACTTGAGCCACAGCGCCACTCCTGGTTTTTTTCTTATGTGGTGCTGAGGAATCGAACCCAGGGCCTCAGGCATGCAAGGCAAGTGCTCTACCACTGAGCCACCTTCCCAGCACCTATACTAATTATTTTCTATTAAGGCTAAAGTTTCTGCTATTAATGTGGCTTTTTTATTTACTTATTTCATACTACTTGTTTTCTATTTTTGTCTAGGTCCTATAAATCTGTTATATTCATACTTTCTTGAGTGTTCTATGTCTATCTTTAAAGTGCTGTTAATTTTTAAATATCTTTTGGCAATTTATCTTTGTTCTCATACTTGTGGGTGGCCAGTTTATTTTTCTAAATATAAAATCATAAGTGGAAAATGATTTTCTCTCATATATTTGTTATTTTGCGTTAAATACAAACAATATGATGAAAAGATTATTTTTGCATTTCTTCATTAAATATGAAGTGAGTTGGTTTTACGTATTTTTAAATAGAAGAGAAATAATATCTATTCTTGTTTATTAGAAGCTACAAGTTTGATCAAATGAATTGCTATCTTGATATATTACTTTTATCATTAAATCACCCATATGATTGATTACATTAAAGGACTTCATGAGAGTAAAACATCCTCCAATTCCTGAAATAAAATCTATCTGATGATTTTGATTTTTTTCTATATATTAGTAAATAAAGTTTGTAGTAATTTATCTGTAGTAATTTCTTTTTAATTTTTGTTGATAGATGGCCAGTATAAATCTTACTCTAAGTAGTATTTGAAGTTTTGTAAATTGATTCATAATACCATTTTTATTTTAGGAATAATACATTGTTGTGTTTTAAAGCTTCTCTGTTGCTATTAGGGACTGTTTTTCCAAAGACATTTTTTTGAAAATACAATAATATATAATATTAGTATGCCATTAATTATATGATATTTTTCTATAAGAATACATTGCTTTGGAAGTTTTAGAAATACTGCTGTGGGGTTTGCAT